TTTCCCTTCAAGAAGTCAGGAACTGTTCCATTAGTAACTATTGCTGTTGCTGCCATGCCAAAAAAGGATCCCGGGAGGAGCAGAGCGTGCTGCGGTGGCACTGAGCCTGGCGGGCCGGAGTTACCATTTGATGTCCAGGATGGCGGCCGTGTCGATGCGCTGGATCTCGGTCAGAGGGATGTAGGGCTGCTCCTCGTTGTAGTGGTACAGGTAGAGCCGCCCCGTCCGGTCACAGGCCCCGCTGCTCCCCCGGGAATCGCTCTGTGGCAAACACGGAAAGAACGGGGCAAGCTCAGCCGCGCTTCTGCCTCCTGGAGATCCTGCTCGGAGCGAGGGCAGGGCTGAGGCTGCCTCTTGTTCAGCCCCAGCCTTGAGGGATGAAAGGAGAGAAGGGATGAAGGGAGGCAGCCACGCTCACCGGAGGGGCCTCTCTGCCCTCCTCGAACCGTCCCAGCACAGGGACAAGGCACGGCCCCGCCACGGGGAACGGCAGCACCGGGATGGGGATGGGGCTCGCCCGGAGCGGGGCCAGGCGGGGATGGGGGCTCGCCCTGCTGCGGTGTCGGCCAGCGATGGAGCCGGGGTTCTCCCCGGAGCGGTAGCGGGCAGAGACGGGGATGGGGCCGGGGCTCTCCCCGGAGCGGTAGCGGGCAGAGACGGGGATGGGGCCGGGGTTCTCCCCGGAGCGGTACCGGGCAGAGACGGGGATGGGGCCGGGGCTCTCCCCGGAGCGGTACCGGGCAGAGACGGGGATGGGAATTGGCCCTGGAACGGTGCCGGGCGGGGATGGGGACGCGGGCTCGCCCCGGAGTGGGGCCGGGGCCGGGCTCACCTGCTCGGGCGGGCGCAGGTGGTAGGTGCCGCAGGCCAGGATGCTGTGCCAGCCCTCTACCGGGCACCACTCCACGGCGTCCGCGCTGAACTCCGTGTCCACCACCTGCAGCGTGCGCGTCCTGCACGGCGCGGCCATCGCGGCCCGGCCCTGCTGCGCCGCCGGGGCGGCTCCCGGGAGGCTCCGGGGAGGCGGGGCCGGCCCCGTCTGCTTCCCGGTCAGGGCGGGCCCGGGGCGGAGCTGCCCCTGGAGCCGCCTCTTCCCCCGGCCGGGCTGTTCGTACACGGGGGGTTCTTCTCGCCTGCCCGAGCTCCCCCCCCGCTGTGTCCTTGCCGAGGGAAGGGGCTGCGGCTCCAGCGCCCCCCCGGGAAGGATCCCTGCCCTGAACCCGGCAGCCGCTCACGAGGGAAATCCGGGATCAGCCTTTCCTCGCCAGGCCCCAGCCCGGCCCTTCCCGAGCACACCCGGGCTGGTGCCGCCGTTCCGGGCCTCGGACCGCTCCTGGGCGCTGCCCTGAGCCTTTCCCTGTCCCCCTCGGTCCTTTCCCTGTCCCCCTCGGTCCTTTCCCCGTCCCGCAGCTCGGGATGCGCCCGCAGCCGTTCCCACCGCGGTACCGCTGCCCCGGAGCTGCGCTGCCGCTGCTCCCTGGCGGAAACCCTGCAGACCCAAAGGTCTCGTTCCTGAGTGAAATCAGCCAAGGCCGGGCCCTTTGGTTTTCCCATAACCAATCCTACATTTATTGACACTGAATTTCATCTCCCGCTGTCTCATAACATCCTTCTGCAATTCACTCAGCCTTTATTATCATTACACTGAATTATATCAGTGGATGTTGTTAGTTTCATTATACATTACCTTTTTGCTATTTTTTTAATATACTGGACATCCAGCTGTTTACTTCCCACCACCATAAAGCCCCTCCCTTCTACTCCTCCTTTCCTGTCTTTTAAACAGTTGTCTATGTGACATTTCCCTTTTTGACCAGCAGCTTTTCTTCCTTAAGTGCCTTGAGCAAAGTCATCATTAAATGCAGTTCAAACTGTCCCAACCAAATCCCCTTTTCCCTGGTTGTTGATGCCTGCAATTGAAGCAATTCCAGTCAAGTTTTGAAGCTGATTTCCCTGTACAGAACCCACAGTGACTCCTCCTCGGTATTGGTGCTGCGTCACAGCATCCATGAATTCACAATTTGTAGTAGTTTGAAATTCCTGTAGTTTGAAATTCCTTCCAGAAGCTGCTGTGCCATTTGCTGTGCCATTGTACCGAGGGAGAGGTCGCCATCCCAGCTGGGAGCTCGGCTTGTTCGTCGCTGAGCTCCCTCGGAGCCGTGGGTGGCACCGTCTGCTCCTGGCCGCTTGTTGCTGCTCATTTCAGCTGAACTTCCATCTCTCCCGAAAGCACTTCTGCTCTGAGCAGATTCCCCGTGGAGCTCTCCATATGGAGTATTCCTGTGCGAACCCCACCAGCTCTTTCACAGGGAACACACATGCAAACAAGTCACTGGATTTTCTTCTGCTGAGGCTCTCATCCTCAGGTCAGCCCTTCCCTTTGCTGTGCATCCCTCTCCGCTGACTCCAGCAGTCCCCCTGCTCCTGATTTTTTCAAAACCACTCATGCAAGTTTTATGATTTGAACATTCCTCATATTCATTTTTCTTTGCATTATTTTGCTGGGTTGATTTGTTTCTTTGCTCGTTCTACGTTTCACCTGCCAAATGTTATTCTTTCCATCTCTTACATTTGGACACAAGTTCAGTTTACCAAGGATTTCTTCTTACTCTGAGTATCCCACATGCTGCTGTTTAATCACACCAGCCTCCTTTTGCTCTCAGTGCTGTTTTGCTGGGTGGTGAAGCTTTGCTCCTGGCCCATGTGGTGTCTTACACCATCTCCATGCCTTCCATAAGCATTTTCAGCCTTTCAGCAGCTCCTTTTACCACGAGTTTCATTTAAAAATAAGTAACAAAGGAAAACTAAGACTATAACTGGATGGTGTTTTCAAGGTGCCAGTATCAGAACACCAAGCCCTGCAATCCACTGTATTTCATATTTGGTTTTCCTTAAGCCAGCCTGGATTTCCAGTTGTGTTTTCTGCATGTTGGGATTGGTGATACCATCCTACTTGGATGGGAAGGAGCACTGGAAGGTGCCTGTACCAACATTTCAGTGTTTACAGGGTGTGTGCAGCCCTCTGTTATTACAGCCAGCACCAGGAGCGCTGCAGCCTCCTGCCCTGAGCTGGATTTACCAGATTTCCCTGCAGGAAACAACCTGGATGAAGAACATCTCCATCAGGGGGAAGCCCTTGGAAAATCAGCTCTTGATCAGAACTGTCCAGGTCTGCTCCCAGATAAATGACTCCAATCCTGGGGTTTTAAATTTAGAGCTATCCCTGCCAGCAGGGTTCTCTGTGGGTAAGGAGGGCCTTTACAAGAGCTCCATGCTCTGGGCTGCCTTGGGGAGCTGCCACCTTCAAGCTCCCTTCTGGCCCTCCTCACTGAGAGGGAAGGTGTCTGTGCATGCCAAGAGCTGCCAGAATCACTGATCACTGATCCAGCAGGCAGGGATGTGCTCAGTGCAGTCCCCAGGAGTCAAAATCCCCATGGCCACTTCTCTCCTGTGGCACAGGGACAGTCTGGGGGCACAGACCACACACCCAGGTGTTGTTATCTCCCTCTTATCTCCCTGAGCCTCTGCAGGATGTCTGGGCAGTTTCTTTCCACTTGGATTGGTCCCACTTTTAACCCTCTGGGCATCTCTGTACCTCACCTCCCACATCCCCTGGGATCAGGATTTCCCCAAGCACCTCCATCCTGGCTTTATCCCACCCATCCCTGATTCCCTCAGAGGAATCTCCCCATTGCCCCACCATCCTTGGGTGCAGCCCGTCCTTGTGCTCACAGCAGCAGCATTGAAACATCTGCACCAACTTCTCCCTGCTGGGTGCTGCTCAAGTGTTTAAGGGCTCTAAGCCTGCACTTTGTTTTGATAAACATGATTCCTGGTAATAAAATGGAAAACTGGCAGGACAAACAGCAGCTTTTAAACAGGCAAAGGAAAAAACCCCCAATACTTCTGTCCTATTCAGTGGATTACCTCAATAAACAAAATATTCCTTATGTTCCATTTTATATTAATCAAAAACTGCATTTCACTTCAAGGAAAGAATTAATGTTTCCTTTAAAAAAAAAGATTACTCATTGCAGGAAAATTTGACTGGGTCCTGCTTGGTTTTGTCATACTAAAGGGCATTTTGGGCTGCCTGAACAGAAAAGTTACAGTACAAATGTGGTTTAAGAGTGGCAACTCGACCAAGTGCCTTCAAGTGAACTTCCAGCAGGAAGCTTCAGAAGTTTTTTACTATTTCCCACAATGCTTAAAGCCAAAGGATGAAAACCCACCCAAATGTTAATAATTCAGAACTTCCTGTGCAGATATTAGAAACAGAATATAATATTGGAAGTCCACAGCAGATCAATTTTCTAACAAATTGAATACAAGCAAGACCAACATTGCAACATGAAGTGGCAAAGTGAATCCTGATTGAAAAAATCAAAATTCTAAACGGCTTTTACAAAAAAATTTTCACTAAGCACTCCAAGAAAGGCTCTGCATTAAGCACTCAGCAGCTCACATTCTTCTACTGTGAAGCAAGACTAACACCTGGCACTAAATTATCCATTTAGCTCTTCAGGAAACTCAGCTGATGTTCCTTACACTTCTAAGGCAAAAATGGAATAGAAAATAGTTATTCATGAAAAGAAAAATAGGCATGTGCTCTGCAAGGGAAATCCTCCTCCCATACTACTGTTACTCATTACTACATTTAAAAAAAATCAAAAAGTGATTCTTGGATTGATGACAACTCTTAAAAAAAGTGAATAAATAATTCAAATCACCCAATATTAGATATTTAAACATCTCTGCACACGACTGGAGTGTTTCCTATGCTACGGGGAAGCCACGAGGGCGACCACATCCACACACAGCTGCTCCCTGAGCTCCCGTGGCACTGCCCTCTGTGCCAGGCTGTGAACAGAGAGCTGACCCAGCTCCCTGGGAATCCTGGCTGCTCCGAGGCCCATCTCCAGCAGCCCCAGCTGCAGTCCTGGACCCAGATCCCAGAGGGTCCCTCTGCCCCACGCAGCTCCTGGGCCCTGCTCCTGCCAGCAGCCAGGGGGGCTGAGCTCTGAAGGCAGCTGGAAGGGAAGGGGAAAAAGCCAGAGAGCAGACATGGATTCATTCCAACCTTTACTTTGTTTGCTCTTTTTTTGTTTGTATTTTTTTTGAAATAGAGCTTCCATGCAGAGTTCTCCAGAGTAAGTGCTGATGCCAGAGCCTGCCCCGCCGGCCTTGGCACTGCCACAGACACTTCTGCCACATGGGAGGAAAAGCTTTTGCTACATGACTTTTTTTCTTTTTTTTTTTTTTAACTTTTAGGCCAACAACATGTTCTCATCTGAACATTACAGTTAATGAGTGCTATCAAGAATTCCTAACAAAAACTGTACATGAGTTTACAAACGTATTAACATATAAATAATGAGAAGCTTCCTGCCTGGAGCTCCACAGTAGTCTTTTTGCTTGAGAATATAATACTGGAAGGGCAGACCCGATCCCTTTCCACAGCACCAGTCAGAGCTGGCTTAGTCCAGTCAGCCATTCTGCTCAAGCATCACAGGGTTTTTCTTCAGTGCCTCTGGCTTTGATAAGCAGTCTGTCATACTGTGCAAAAGCAAGAGTCCAATGCCTTTGGGAAGGAATCCTGCTGCTGAGAGGCCTCTGCTGCCCGGTCACCGCTCGGGGCCGAGCTCCTGCTGGAAGGTTCTCTTCTTCTCCCGACAGTGCTTCTTGTGGGCAGGCCAGTCCTTCTGCTGGCACTGCGAGCCGCAGTACCGCGCCACCTGGCAGCGCCCACAGATGTTGAACTCGCGCAGCTGCGAACAAAAGCTGGGGTTAGAGGGGCTGCTCAGTGCCAGGGGAGCCTCAGCATCCCCCAGGGACACCCTGTGACAGACAGCTTTTGTGGAAAATCATCCCTGCTCAATGCCAGGAGAGCCTCAGCATCCCCCCATGTCACAGACATCTTCTATGGAAAATCCTCCCTGCTCAGTGCCAGGGGAGCCTCAGAATCCCCCCTCCAGGGACACCCCTGTCACAGACATCTTTTATGAAAAATCCTTTCTTTAGGATTTTTCCTCCTGAGAAGCTGAAAGGCCTCAGGAACAAAATGTAAGCAATGATTATCTGCTGCTGTGGAATGCAACAGGTGCATCTGGGATTGGCCCATGTTGGTTGTTTCTAATTAATGGCCAATCACAGCCCAGCTGGACCGGGCAGAGAGCTGAGCCACAAACCTTTGTTATCATTCTTTTCTATTCTTAGCCAGCCTTCTGATGAAACCTTTTCTTCTATTCTTTTAGTATAGTTTTAATGCAATATATATCATAAAATAATAAATCAAGCCTTCTGAAACATGGAGTCAGATCCTCGTCTCTTCCCTCATCCAAGAACCCCTGTGAACACCATCACACACCCCAGCAGCTTTCCCAAAGGAACCAGCAGCATTCCCAAGGAGCTGCACCATCAGGTGGCTGTCCATGGTCACCAAGGTCAGGTGCAGCCCTGAGAGCCAGAAGCAATCCCTCCCTGTGCCTCTGCCCATGCCTGTCACAAACAGGTGACAGGACAAGGCTGAACAGCCTCACAGAGCAGGGTGAGAGGGATATTGGGAGGAAATACTTCCTGGCAGGCCCTGGCACAGCTGTGGCTGCCCCTGGATCCCTGGCAGTGCCCAAGGCCAGGCTGGACAGGGCTGGGAGCAGCCTGGGACAGTGGGAGGTGTCCCTGCAAATGGAATGAGATGAATTGTAAAGTCCCAACCCAAACCAGTCTGGGATTCTGTGAAACACAAACACCCCACCATGAGGGTTTGAAGCAATCCTCCTCATTCTTCTAAAATGGGCTTAATTTATAGACAAAATATTGGAGCATTACACATTTGTTGTCACAATGCTCCTGTTTTGTCAACTCAAGTTCTGTTTTCAACTACAAACAAACACCTGAAATTCAGAAATTATCAGGAGGGCTGCACAAGCTCAGCCATTGCCAAATTAATGTTGTCCAGGAGCTTTTGGGCACAGACCCAAATAAAAGGCAGAGCAGCCTCTGTTTCAAATACAGGGAATTTAAGATCATTTTTGCAAATGTTCCCTTGCCCACAGCAAAAAGTGGAACACAATGGGTTTAGCCTATTCAGCATCTGCTATCACAAGAAAAGCCCTTGTTTCTAGATAAGGCATCTGTGTGGCAGAGGCACAGCCCTTGCACAGCTCATTCTCTCTCTCCTGATGTTGCTTTATCTTCCTCCAGCAGAACTTTCCCTCCCAGCTCTCCCCTGGATGAATTGCAATTCACCTTCACCTCAGGAAATGGCAACCAGGTTATTTTTTGATTCCATGGCCATCCAAGCCCTCCTAGAATGCTCCCTGCTGCCTCACACAGCTGCTCACTCATCCCAGCTCTGCTTTCTGTGCACTCTGCAGAAATCGCCCTCCTCCAGCAGCCCCTAACATCCACTGCTCCAGCCCAAACCCACATTCCCTCCTGTGAGAAAACTGAAAACTATCACAGGCTCTGGAGGTTCAGCCAAAGAAAACCTGAGTGGCAGAAAATCATGGCTTTAACCACTGAATGGCTCATGTAAAGCTCTACATTTTAAATAACAAATAAACCCCCAGACACACCACTATGCCAAGGGTTCCCTGCTCACTCCCAGCTCTCTGAACCCACCTGTTTTTCAATCATTGTGCAGGGAGGGTAGTGACATTCATAGTAAGTGCAGGAGTTCTCCTCCTCCTCCACAACATCCCCATTAGCATTGTAATATCTGGTTACATTCAGGACAGGAAACTGCTCCTCTATGGGGTCTGTAGGAAGTTGTTGGATTGCCAGCCAGTACAGACTTTGTTCCCTGGAAAAACAAACAAGTACAAGTTTGGTGCATCAATTCATAATAATCATACAGAGACACTGATTCCAAATTTATTACTAAATAAGGTTAACATTGTATTTAGCCTCAGACTGCACATCCTGCTCATATATTGGGTGTTTGTAAGGTTATTTTAGCCTAAGTTCAAACCCCAAAAGTTTAAATATATGAGCATATACTGCTCATATATTGGGTATTTTAAAGGTTATTTTAGCCTAAGTGCAAACCCCAAAAGTTTAAAGGTATCAATCAAGAAACATTTACATACAGCAAAGTTAATTCTGTGCAAAACTATTCGCAAAATTAATTTTTGGCATGAAGTCTGTTTCTTGTTCTTGAACCCCCAAAACCATGTAGAGCATTTGTGATTCACTACAGCTTCTAAAAATCAGTTTAATCAGCTCTAAACACCCCAATGTTAAAGGTGCCACCTCTAATGCAGGTGTTTCAGGATTAGAGTGTGATGTGAAGTCTGTGGGTCTGGATTTTCATTGATTATCCAGATCCATCCTGGCACAGAGTGTGATGTGCTGAGTGAAACCCAGCCCGTGGGGAGCTCCCCAAGCTGCTGAGAGGTGCTGGAAGCTGAGCCCAGAACTCACCCTGAGGGAGTCCAACCTGAGCTCACAGCTCCCACCAGGGGCATCCTGCAGCTCCCACCAGGAGCATCCACCCTGCAGCTCCCAGCAGGAACATCCACCCTGCAGATCCCATCAGGAACATCCATGCTACAGATCCCATCAGGAGCATCCATCCTACAGATCCCACCAGGAGCATCCACCCTGCAGCTCCCAGCAGGAGCATCCACCCTGCAGATCCCATCAGGAGCATCCACCCTGCAGATCCCATCAGGAGCATCCTACAGATCCCACCAGGAGCATCCTACAGATCCCATCAGGAGCATCCACCCTGCAGATCCCATCAGGAGCATCTTACAGATCCCACCAGGAGCATCCATCCTACAGATCCCACCAGGAGCATCCATCCTACAGATCCCACCAGGAGCATCCTACAGATCCCATCAGGAACATCCATCCTACAGATCCCACCAGGAGCATCCACCCTGCAGCTCCATCAGGACCATCCTGCAGCTCCCAGCTCCCACTGGGGTTTCTGAGGGGCAGAAGGCAGTGAGATGTGCAGATTTCCCTGAGCCTCTGCCCAGCTGGGAGGGCACAGAGGTTCCTGCTGCACCTGGCACAGCCCTGAGGGTGAGATGGGTGGGGTGGTCCCAGCACAGCAGGACATGAGCACAGGCCGAGCCCCAGCTGAGTGATGTGCAAAGCACCCAAAGCTTCATCAAAAAGGCTCTGCCAAGGCAAAACCCACTGAAGAATGGAGACATTTGAAGAGATGTCTATCCCCCTGCAGGTGCTCCATACCTTTGTTTGCTGGAGATGTCCTCAGCCTTGGGCTTCCAGCCCCAGGGCACGAGGCGCAGGTTGTCCAGGCGGTTGTCCACGGTCACCGAGTTCAGGTGCACCACCTGGAAGCCAGGAGCAATCCCTCCTCTGTGCCTCTCCCTGCAGGACACAAAACCAACCTGAGGGTCAGTGCTGCACAGGAACAGCAAAAAAACCCAAAGGATCACAGCAATTCAAGAGGCAATGTGAGCTGGGAGCTGCTGGCACTGGGCTGCAAACAGGCTCCAGGGGCTACTCCCAGGAGAAAGTGCCTTTTTCCAGCAGGTGGTTTCAATTATAAATTAGTTGAATCAAATATAGAGTGATTTTAAGCATATTGCTTAGTTCCAGAGTCTACTCCTCCAGTTACTGCTGAAGATCCATGGAATTACAGTGCTCCTTGGAAGGTGCCAATACTGGATTATTATTCCCATAGGAAATTCTATCAGACACATTTGTGCAAGTCTGGCACTGGTGTGTTTATTATTTATGAAGAAACATCTCTGAACAGCAGCAGGACAGAGGTTTCACCAAGTATGCAAATCTTTTTAGACTGCAATTGTGTGTCACACACTGAAAGTCTGAAATTACCCCACAATTGACCAAGAGACACCTGAAACTTGCCCAAAACCCAAAGCAGGGCTAATCCAGGATGACTGCAGGGAGAAATCTTCCCTACTGCCTTCTAGGAGCTTCCATTGGCCTTTCCCCCTTCTTTTCATCTCTCCTCTCTCTGTTTCATCCAGTTCACTGTCAAACACCCTCAAGCCTGGACAAGTTTTGGTATCACTTCTTGCAGGAATCCCCATCCCAGCTGAAATGCAAGGCTTGGACAGAGGGCTGTGTCCCTGTGACTGTTGTGCCATGGGGAGAACAAGGACAAGCAGAGCTGAGAGCACTCACTGAGGGGAACCCAGCACCTCCTCATGGACGCCTCCCAGCAGCTTCACCCAAGCCCAGCCTGGACCCTGAGCCCTGCTCAGCCTTCACTGAACATTTCAGCTCAAATAATTATTTTCATTTTGAAGAGAAATTTGTCTGAGTTTAAAAAATCATGCCTTTTTTTAACCTTTATAAAGCTCAGCAGAACAGGAAGCTCATTTTAACATGACTTGCAATGAAAAATGTAGGATTTTGTATTCTTGGTCAAAATCCATCCAGATATGTCCAAGTTATGTACCTTGGGGGTAAGAAAAACTTTTGCACTTCACATATTCCCCAAAACTTGGTAGAATTTAATGAGGAAAATCCCCCTGGAGAGGCTGCAAGCAGCACCTCACACAGACTGTGCTGCAGCTCCACCAGGTAATTCCTGAGAGAATTCCCTGCAAGGGAACAGAGCCTGGAGCCTCCTGCCAGGGAGTGTGCTGGGCCTTCATGGAACAGGGAAAAGTTCTTCCCTTTGAGGGTAAAACCAATAAAATCCTTCTTTTGGGGGAAAAGAAACCAAACCACACACATTAAAGCAAACAAACTATGGCAGAGAGTCAACTGAAGTGCCCTAAAGGAGGAATCCCAGCTTGATTGGGTTGGAAGGGAATTTAAAACTCAGGGACACTTTCCACTATTGCAGGGTGCTCCAATCCCCATCCAGGCTGGCCCTGGACACTGCCAGGGGTTCCCCACCCTGCCAGGGAACAATTCCTAATTCCCAACATCCCATCCCTCCCTGCCCCCTGGCACTGGGAGCCATTACAGCAGCAGCTACTCCTGAGTTGCTGAGGGTCTGGCAAAGGGAATCAGGAGTCCCAAGAAGTGCAGAACTGCTGGAAGGGTGCATCAGACAGACACTGGGACAGGGAAGGAGTTAAGGTTCTTAGAATGAGCCTGGGACCAAGTGCCAGCTGCAGAGATGGGACAGATAGGGACAGGAATCTGGGAGGAGGAGACAGAGGTTCAGAGCAAGAACAGAGTGTGCAGGGGGGAAAGGGGAGGGGATTCCAAAACTAAGTTCAGAAATATTTTGGATTTTATTAGATGAGTTTAGAACTGCTGGAGTTGGGGAAGGAGAGAGGATTATGAGGATTGTCCCTGGCACTGGGGTGGCACAGCAGAGTGGCACCTTGCTCCTGCACAGCCCACATCTGCACCCAGCACCCCAAAAAGCAAATTCTGACCAAATCCCCTCCCACACTGAGCCAGTCTTTACCTCCTTGTATAAAACCACATTTATCTACATCACTGCCAGCTTTTCTGTGGCCTCAAGTGACAAAAGCCCAAGCAAAGCTGGAAGTTGTGCCTTGCTGGTGAGCAGCCAGAGTTAAACCCCACTGCCCTGAGGTGCCACACCTGGTGATGCCAAATCCAGGGTGGACCCTTCTCTCCAAGCTCTGAACACAGGAGCACTGCCCTCCCTCCCCAGGCCTCTGTGACCATCCCAGCCCACCCAAAGGAGCAGCAAGGACAGACAGACAGACAGACCCTGCCTCGGGAACAGCCTCAGAATGCAGCCAGAACTGCAGGGCTGGAGCTCCTGATCCCCCTGCACTCCTCAGCTCCTGCAAGATGACAAGCAAACCCTTCCCCAGGGATCATCTGGGTTCTGTTCTTTGGGTATTTCAGCAGCTCAGAGCCCAGGGCTGGAACACAAGTGCAGACACAGCAATTCCAAGCACCAGGAACCAGAGCTGAGCCTCTTACAGGCAGCAAGATGGCAAGTGCTCTAAAAAAAAACACCCTTAAGAGCCCCCAGAAATCAGGTCCTGGATGTCTTTTTGAACATGCAGTTGGTGCTATTTATGACTAATCCCCTTCTGCTGCTGCTGCTGTTCCCAGGGAACATCTCCACACCAGCAGAGCAGAGCTGGGATTGCCCACAGGGAGCTGAGCAGGGACAAGGCTCCTGCAGAGACCCCAAACCCTGCTTGGGGGAGCCAGGACTCATTTGGAAATCACAGCAAGCACATGAGAGGCTGAGAACCAGCAGGAAGTTCTCCCTGTAAGAATTTTTGCAGCTCATGAGGGGAATTTCCAGCTCCTGATGCCTTTGGATCCCACAGTGCCTCTGCACAGGGCTCTGGGAGAAGGTTCCTGTCACTGCTGCAGCTCCAGCGGAGCCAGGATTTCCATCCCAAGGGCCTCATGACATGAGCAAAGATACCTGCTGTACTAGGAAAGAAAAAAAATGCAAAAAATCTCTTTTCATTACATCTACCACATGCTACTCACTGTCTCTATAATCCAGAGGCACACAGCTGGGTTGGGTTTTTGTATTTTTGGGGGTTCATGTGCAGAGAATAACTGAATTACACACCTACACCAATCCATAATCTTTGGTTTTCATTCACCCAAGGAGCCAGGCAGGCACTGGGAAATGGAATCAGTGCCTGGCTCTGCCCAGCTCTCCTGAATCCAAACCCCCAGCACTGCCCCTGCTCACAAGGGAAGGCCCTGACACTGCTCCCAGCCCTGCTCTGCGCTCACAGCAGCCCAAAATTGCTGTTTAGGAGGGGCAGAAGCTTCACAGCCCTGCAGAGACTCAGCCTCTGAGCTGCAGCTGAACATCAGCACCACCACCACCTTCAGGACCAGGGTGAACTCACAGAACAGCACAGATATTTTATATTTTCTACTTCAAAAACCTGACTGCAAATTCAGAAGTGCAGCTCTGCTTGCCTGGCAGCTGCCACCCCCCTCTGTGCCTCTCCAAAATCCCCATTACACACAATCTCTTATATTTAACCACAGCCCATGCTCGAGTGACACAATTTGAATTTCCTAACTGAATCTGCTCAAATGACTTCCTAATTTGAGTGAAACAAGCCAGGAGAGGCAATGGCTGGGCTGTGTCATAAACAAATAGCTGGGATGTCATCATTTGCACAGCCCTCAAGAACTGACCTGAATAATTTTCAGGTGCTGTTTAATGCTCCTTACAGATAATAATTATGACTGTCTGAGGTTCACAGTTAGCAGCAGCTGTCAGTGATTTGCTCCACATATTGCAGCCAATTTCATAATTTCAACAAAGTTCTATGTGCAATAAGATTAAATATTAACAGATGCAGGTTAAAATCCATATTTAATAAGCAGACTGCAAATATTAATCTGATATTCCTCCTGTCTCCTTCCTCCTATGCAAAGCCTGGTTCTAGGGGATAAAAGGTAACCTGGAATGATGAAGGGCATCCTGGGCACTGTGGCTTCCAAAGATGTGGAACTGAGTAGAAAATATGCTTAACTTTTCCAAAAAGGCTTTTTAAATAAATAAGATTTCTTCAGCAGATCCCACCTTTTGTACAAACCCACCAACATCGACAAGGAGCAACAGATGAGCTCAGAGGGTGAGCTGCTCTCAGATGAGGAAATTGGTCCTGAAACCTAATGAAACTATGAAGGATTTCAAGGATTTGTAGAGTATGGAAAATAAGAGTATGGAAATGAACCATCAGCAGCATCACCTCAGGCAGTTTTGCAGAAAGCCATAAAAACACTTCAAAGTGTGAAGTTATCAGGAGTTCCCTCTCTCCAGTGCTCTGATAATTCTGAGCAGACAAAAAACCTCACAAACCTTCAAATGTTTGTCTTCCCCTGTCAGTGGGGCAGGTGCTGGGGCAGCATTCCCAGGTGTGAACAGGGTGTCCATGGCCCTGGCTCTGCTCTCCCTGCCTGGAACGTTCCACGGGCTGTGCCATGTAAACATATCCTGCACCCCAAACCCTGTGGGCACCCCGGGCTGGGTTTGCCCCTTTCCTGAGGGCACCTGGGCACAGGGATCCCCCTCCCAGCCCAGGTTTGTGCTGCCTGAAACAGAAATTCTATCTGTTTCTGGCTCTGCTGTTTGCTAAGTGGGGACTTGGCATGGAGCAAAGCTGCTTTATTTCCTGGAGACTCCAGTCCTTTTGTCCATCCAGGCTGTTTCAGGATGCAATGACTTCTACTTTATGCCTGTGCAACACCTGACCTATAAAATCATAGAATGGTTTGGGTTGAAAGAGACCTTTTAAATTATCTCATTTCAACCCCCTGCCATGGGCAGGGACACCTTCCACTCAACCAGGTTGTTCAAAGCCCCATCCAACCTGGCCTTGAACACTTCCAGGGATGGGACATCCACAGCTTCTCTGTGCAACCTGTGACAGTGTCTTACCACCCTCACAGTAACATGTTTCCTCCTAATATCTAATCTAAATCTACCTTTTTATGTGCCCTTTAGTCTAACTCTCTGACCTATACGAGTGACTTCAGCTCAGCCAGATGATGCCCTTTAGAGCAGAGCATCCCATGCACTGCACAACACCCAGCAGGAGAGCCACAGATCACAGCACCCACCAGAGCAGCTCGTGCAGGAGGCGCCCCGAGCCCCGGCCCCGGTTCTTGTCGAAGGCGTAGGCGAAGATTTTAGCACCGTTCCCATCAGCATCCACCTCCATGCGAGCCTAGAGGGGAGGGAAAGGCTGTGAGAGCAGCACACGGGGCACCCAGCACCCCTCCACTGGGGGGCACCCCCCATTTGGGGCATGCACCCCCTCATTTGGGGCATGCACCCCCTCATTTGGGGGCATGGACCCCTCATCTGGGGGCATGGACCCCCTCACTGGGGGCATGGACCCCCTCATCGGGGGCATGGACCCCTCATTTGGGGGCATGGACCCCCTCATTTGGGGGCATGCACCCCCTCATTGGGGGCATGGACCCCTCATTGGGGGCATGGACCCCTCATTGGGGGCATGGACCCCCTCATTTGGGGGCATGGACCCCCTCATTTGGGGGCATGGACCCCCTCATTTCACACTTGTCCCTGCAGGGCCCTTGAGCTCGATGGGGTCTGGGCTGTCCCAAAGCCCCAGGGGGACCCAGCCAGCTCAGCCTGGGGGGCACCCCCAGCACTCTGGGGACACCCCCAGCCCTGCTGTGCTCCCTGGGCCAGTTCTTGGCACCTCTGGGTGCTGAAGCCAAAGGGCACCTCCACCCCCCCCGCCCCAAAATGGGGTACTGGGGGCTGTGGGGTGGGATGGAGCCTGTGGAGCCCAGGGGAAGGGCAGGGGGAGCTGGGGCTGCCTGGATGAAGCACAGCAGGAATGGAGCTCTGGGGCTGGGATTCATGGCAGGATCCTCACTCTGCCCCATCACCCACCTCGCTGGGAGAACAAGGGTCTGCCATTTATCCTGCATTTTCCCTGCATTTCCATATTTTCCTGCCCTCCACAATGCTGTTCAAAGCTCACAAAGCACAGCAACAACTTGCTGCATTTGGGAAGTCAGGGTTTGTTACCACCACGGTGACAGACACTCACGGTGGCTGCCAGAGGGGAGGAATGGGCAAACAGGGAAAGTTCTGGCAGCAGCACTCACAAAACTCCTAAAATCCCCAAGAGCAGCCCCAAAGCATCCACTGCACTGCAGAAATGTAGCAGATGATGGTCTCTCCTCCAAAAAAACCCCTTATTTGCTGAAGTTTTGTAATCATTGTCTTTCACTTCCAAAGCCTTGGTAAAACCCATTTAGCAGTAGATGTGAAGAGGAAACACTTTTTTCTGGTCCCATAATCAGGTACATGAATACAAGTTTTCCTCATCCAAGACTAAGTGCAGAGTGAACATTTCTAATGTTTGCCAAACCATTGCCAATTATCAGTTCTCCGAAAGCATACAGATATTATGGAAAAAAATAAACTAGAAAATAAATGAGTAAATAAATGTTTTAAAATAACGTTTGTCTAATTAAAAAAGAAAAAAAGGAAACCCCAGAACTTTTCCTGCTTGAAATCCCCCACGTTGGGACTTCAATAAGTTAAAAGTGATTTTTTTTCCGCCGATCGGGGGAGTTGCAGGCACGGCTCCTCCAGGGCGGCTCGGCTGGAGCAGAGCACGAGGAGAGGGCAGAGCCGGAGCTCCGGCGGGGCCGGGGCAGCCCCGGGCGGGGAGGGACTCACGGAACCGGGGCCAGCCCCAGGAGGGAAGGCGGGCAGCGGCGGGCTCACCTCGAACGAGTAGCTCTCCACCAGCGGGATGTCCTGCTCGTCGATCAGCGTGTACTTGGTCTGCAACACACCGAGAGCGAGAGCGCCGTCAGCGCGGCCACGGCGCGGCTGGGCAAGGCCCGGGAGTGCACGGTGCGGCCGCGGCTCCGCACGGCTCCGCACGGCCCCGCCACGGCCCCAGCGTGGCCCCGGCAATGCACAGCCCGGCCCGGCCCCGCCGCCCCCGGCCCGGCCCGGCCGAACCCGGTCCCGCCGTGCCCGCGCTCACCTTGCCGGCCACGCGGCCCAGCCGGACGATGCCCAGTTTGAAGTCGGTCATGGCGGGGCCGGGCCGGGGCCGCCGCTCGCCCCGCGCCGCTGCCACGCGCCGCCGCCTCGCGCACACCCGGGGGGCGGGGCCGCCGCGCCACCGCCCCCCCGCCGCCCCTCGGCCAATGGCGGCCCGCGCCACCGCCCACCCGCGCCCGGCGGACCAATGGGAGCCCGCGCCGCCCTCGCGTCACTCCCGCGAACGCCGCCGCCGCGGCCAATGTGCAGCGGCGCGCCGCGGCCCGGGTCACGTGGGACGGGGCCCCGCGCGCGGGCGCGGGCGGCGCGGGCGCGGGAGGCGCGGGCGGTGACGTCACGTTCGCGGGAAGCTCCGTGCCGGCCCGGCGGGGGCGCGGCCGCGCTTAAAGGGACCGCACCCCCCCCGGGGCCGAACGGGGACAGCGGGAATGGGGACAGGGCCGGGGACACCCCCGGGGACCCCAGGGAGGGTCAGGGACACCCCCAGGGCCGAGGAGCTCCGGCTGGCATGCTGGTGGCACATGGCGGCTGTGCCGGCTCTCGGGCGCTCCGCTCGGACAGCCCGCGCTGCCCCGGCGGGCCCTGCGGGGGGATCGGGCAGGGATCAGGTAGTCCGGAGCTGGGGACGCCCACCGGGATCACGGGGTGCAGCTCCCGGCCCTGCCCAGGACAGCCCGGCATTCCCAAGCTCCCGGTGCCGCCCCGAGAGCCGCGATGCGCTGCGCTGTGAGACCCCGGCTGCGGGGCCGTGCCCTGCTTGGGGACAGCGGATCCAGCTGCGGGGCTGTGCCCTCACCGGGGACAGCACAGAGCCACCCCAGAGCTGTTGTGGGGTCGCCCCAAGAGCCTCCCCACCAGCGCAGTTACTGCCAGAACTTCCAGCCATTCCAGCACTGGGGGTTACTTCAGCACCTCTGAGGGTGTCACAGCAATTTTTTGGTTCTGATTTCAGCCCAAAGTATCCTCCACGTCTTCATTTCTTCAAAAAACCCTCAAGATTTGTGGAATCCTTCTCCCAGGGCTGCTCCATTTGCTTATCCCCAGCCTGGATTCATCCCAGAGTTGCCCAGACCCAGGTGCAGCTCCAGCACTGGGCCTGGTCAAACCTCATGAGGCTCCCATGAGGATGTCGAGCTTGCTTGAGCTTTTCCAAGTCCCTCTGGATGGCATCACATCCTTCAGATTTGTCACTTCACCCTCAGCTTGGTGTCACCTGCCAGCCTGCTGAGGTTGCACTTGATCCCTTCCTCTATGTCATTAATAAAGGTACTAAATTAAATTATTAATTAGGAAGATGGGTTTAAATGTGATGTTAATGTATGTTGTTATCTTTGGAACCCTCTGCCTCGTTTTGAAGAACATAATTTGGAAGAAATCAATTATTGGCAGGGCAAACCCTCCTTCCAAGCACTGCTTTGCTCCTACCAGAGCACATGCTCTCAGGCAGAAGGGGAAAGGGAAGGTTACAGGTCCTGTCCCAGGAGAACTCCCGGTAAGGAAAAGGAATCATTTTTCCAACTGTTTGCAGCGCTGCCAAGTGGAGGGAAATTCACACGGGACAGGGAGGCTGAACAGCTCCTAACTCTTTGGGGTCACTCCAGAGTGGGTTTCCACATCAGGGGCACAAAGATTTTAACAGAGTTTAAGGCAGAGCTGCTGCTGAAGGGGCTGCAGCCTCTGCCTGCCCTGTCTCAGGTGTTTGTGAGGATTTTTGGGGAACCCCTACAAGGAAGGGACCCAGCCCTCCCCTGGCAGGGCAGCCAGGCTGGGCTGGGGTGAGGATGGGATCCCCCAACCTCTGCAGCCCCTCAGCCTGTGGCCACTCCACACAAAGGTTTTCTGCCCCTGTACCTTAACCAGAATTTGTGCCACACAAACCCTTGGAGAGATGGGACTGGTTACAGAGCACCTGGAGCCACACCTGATGTATTCAGAGCACCCAAATTATTCCCTGCTTGAAACATGGTAACATGGCTGATCCAACAAAGGAACCAGATAGAATCCTGGAATATCCTCAGGGGGAAGGGACCCACCAGGATCCCCCAACCCAGCCCCTGTCCCTGCCCAGCCCCCCCAGCAGCCCCAGCCTGGGCACCCCTGGCAGCACTGCCCAAAGGCTCCTGGAGCTCTGGCAGCCTCGGGGCCGTGCCCATTCCCTGGGCAGCCTGGGCAGTGCCAGCACCCTCTGGGGGCAGAGCCTTGCCCTGAGCTCCAGCCATTCCCTCAGCATGGCAAATCCCTGGAATTCCAGCTGTATTTCTGTTTTCTTCCTGCCTGCCTCAGAACAAGGCCCTACAATCAGCTGGGGGAAGAGATAAAAGTGCAGAGCCACAAACTGCTGGTTTTGTCTCCACCAGCTCCACGTGGACCTGGGGACAGGGAGAGAGGGGCCAGCACAGGCCTGGAGCCCGGGCAGAGCTGTCCAAGGCACAGCCACCCCAGGCAGGGACAGACACATCCCTGAGCTCCTGGGGTTTTCCCATGGCTGAGAATACCCAGGTCAGGCTTTGCTCAGTTTTGCTTTAGGAGGAGGGTGCAGCTCCCCTCCACACTGACAAGGACTCTGTGGCATATCCTGGACAATTGGTGTCTGCCAAGGCTCATGGATTTGATAAAAACGGCGTTTTTTGCTCACCTTTACCTCTGTCACTACAGCCCCACTCCACGGTCTGTAGCTCTCAAGTCACCAGGGCAGTGACCCAAATCAGGGAGCAAAGGACACAAATGGATCTTGTTTTGAACAAGCAAGGCTAAACCTTCTGCTCTCATTCCTCACCCCATTTTTGAACAGCCACACTTCCATCCCTGCCCCAAATCCATACAGAACACATCCAAAGTGCTGTATTTCCAGAAGACAAGGTACTTTCCCCAAAGGAAAATTGCCAGCATGGGACAGGGACAAATCAAACCAGCAAACGTTTGCAGACAACTGGGTCTTTATTTTAGTATTTAAAGTGCTACAAAAAACTGAAGGAGCCTTCATGTGGCAACTTCCTTTTCTGCAGTCTTAGCTCTGTTGGAAGAAGCAAACACAGCTCATTAGTGGAGTTTTTCAGTAATTAGATGTTGTACATCAATTTCAGCCAGAGCTGGGTACTCACAGCCGGGCACTCGATGGCACCACTGTTGATGTCATCGATGATGTCGTGGGGGTGTCTCCCATCAATGCTGCAGCCCACGGACTGGGCAGTGCCAAGGATCTCCTTGATGGTCCCTGCAGCAGCAGACACAGCCTGTCAGTGCTTTACATCTGAGGAACTTACCTGGAGCAGCCTGGGCTAGGGGAAGGTGTCCCTGCCCATGGCAAGGGGTGCAACTCAATGAGCTTTAAGGTCCCTTCCAACCCAAATGTGGATTCTGACAGAGCTCCTCATAGCTCTCAGCTGTCCCTGTTCCCTCAGGGATTTGCAGGCTGAGCCTCAGGGCTCACAAGGGATCTTTAATTCTCTTATCCAGATCTCACACCATGAACTGCCCCAGGAACACACTGCAAACTCCCTGTACCCCTCCCTCCCCAGGTGTTGGGGCTGCCTGTTTGCAGGCAGCACAGCTCAGCTGGGAGCCCCCACTTGCAGGAAATGGAGCATTCCCTGTGCCTCCCCAGGTCATGGAGCACTCCCTGTACAGGCCATGGAGCATTCCCTGTGCCCCCCCAGGCCATGGGGCATTCATTCCCTGTACCCCCCAGGCCATGGAGAATTCCCTGCACAGGCCATGGGGCACTCCCTGTGCCCCTCAAGCCATGGGGTATCCCCTGTGCCCCCCCCAGGCCAGGGAGCATTCATCCCCTGTGCCCCCCAGGCCATGGGGCATTCCCTGCACACCCCCCAGGCCATGGAGAATTCCCTGCACAGGCCATGAAGAACTCCCTGTGCCCCCCAGGCCATGGGGCATTCCCCGTGCCCCCCAGGCCATGAGGCACTCATCCCCTGTGCCCCAGACTCACCCGAGAGCTCCCGGGCCAGCGAGCGGTGCCGCATCTGCCGCGCAATGTTGACGATCTCGTCGAAGGTGACGCTGCCGCTGTGCTTAACTGGGAGGGAACAGCAGCACTGAGGGCACCTGGGCACTGCCAGCCCCTGCTCCCTCTGGGAGGGCCATTCCCACACCACAGAGAGCTGGGGGTTTGCAGCTCCAGCAGGGCTGCTGCTCCCAGATCATCCCCAACTCCTCTTTCCAAGCTGGCATTTGTGCCAGCTCCCCGGGCTGTGCCAGGCCCTGTGCCAACAGAGTGCTACAGAGCAGGAGCCTGCTCTACCCCAGCTGTGCCCAGAGCAGTTGTGGCTGCCCCTGCATCCCTGGCGGTGCCCAAGGCCAGGCTGGACAGGACTTGGAGCCCCCTGGGACAGTGGGAGGTGTCCCTGCCATGGCAGGGGTGGCACTGACGAACTTTTAAGCCCCTTCCAAACCAAACCAGTCCATGACTCCATAATTTCCTCAAACACAGAACTCTGCTGATGTGCATCTGTTGGTACCTTGGCACTGCAGGGATGCCCAAAACCAGCCTTGTGTCCCATTTACCAGTTTGGGCTGAATAACCCCAGAGAAAGGTACTGGTATTTCCCCTCTTTTAACCCCAAAATATTGAGAACCAAGTCCAGGGGAACACTTACTGTTCTTCTGCTTCTTCCTGTCACGAGGTGGCTCCTTCAGAGCTTTGATAATCAGAGCAGAGGCAGAAGGAACAACCTCTATCTAAATACAAAGAAATTAATTTCCCCCCCCATTCGAAGATACTCAATTAACCTATTAATTATTTCAGCAAAGGTAATTGCCAGAGCAGGGTGGGATTGATCAGCTTCCCCATGCTCCAGGTTTATTGTACTGCAGGGATCTGTTCCCAGGTTTTCGGCACAGGCCTCCCCACCAGCAGGAGAGGACTGCTTCCTGCCTGGGGCTTCCTCTCAGCTCACCACTGGAATGTACCAGCCACGGACAGCAGAACAGGTACGGTGGCGGGTGGCTACAAGAGTTGGCAAGATTTTAAATTATTTATTTCTATGCTGCTTTATGTAAGGTTTTTTTGCTGGTTCAATGTTCTGTACAAAAAATAAGCTACAACGGGATAAAGCTGAATTTTGGCACATGAGGACCTCTCCTTGGGATCCTCCAGCCTGGCAGGTCCCAGGCTCCACATGCATCCCCCCCACCCACGTTTTAAGGTCTTCCCAGAAGACCCCCACACACCCTTTGTGTGGCACTCATTTTATCCACCTCGGAAGGATGAAGGGCTGAGTGGACCCTGCCGGGATCCGGGCCGGTGCCTGGAGCAGGCGGAGCCCGCTTGGGCTCCACGCCTGCAGCACGGGCCGGCCCCTGCGGCGTGCGGTACCTGCGCTTGCCTGTTCTGGATCGTCAGCTTCACCGTGATGCGCAGCCCCTTCCAGTCGCCCGTGGCCTTGGCGATGTCATCGCCCACCTTCTTGGGGGACTGAGGGACGAACGTGGAGTCACACGGGCTCGGGTCAGAGCCGACAGCCCCTGAGGGCCCCGGCTGCTGCTCCGAGTGCGGCCCTGCTGCACGCAGCGCTCCGGGACGGAGCAGCACCGCCAGCGGCTCCCCAGCGCCTCCGGAACGCGCTGGATCCCACCCGATAAAATTTAAATGGAATTGAAATTTTTATCCCTCCCTCACCCCTTTAAATTCCCCCCAGGACTCTCTCGTTCCCCAGCAGGACACGCTTCCCACAGCGCCCGGCACATGTCTCACCTCTCCTTCCCCTCCCAGCCCCGCTCCCCGCTCCCCGGTACGTACCAGCCCCAGGGGTCCGATCTTGGGGGCCAGCGCGGACGTGGCTCCGACCTCGCCGCCGGTGCAGCGCAGGTAAACTGCGGGGACAGCGCCGCGTTAATCGCGCCCGCCGGGCCCCGCGGCCCCTGCCCGCCTCCTCCCGCCCCGCTGCCCGCCACCTACCGACTTTGATCTCGTTAGGATCGAACTTGGGCGGCATTACGGCGGCAGATGGCGGAGATGGAGGCGGATAGAACCGGAGCGCGAACCGAGGTTTTCCAGGCGCAGCGAAAAGACAGCGTGGGCGGCGCGGGCCTAGTATATACCCGCAGAGATCTCGCGAGATGACAGGGAACTTAAAAATTGCCGTCGAGATCTCGCGAGAGGCCAAGATAGGACCGTGGCGGGATCTTTATAGATGTGTATTTGTATTTCGATATAATATATATATAGAGATAGATAGATAGATAGATAGATAGATAGATAGATCGTTCGTTCTGTTGCAAAACGTGGTTTGTGTGGAAGGGTGGTGAGGCACTGGCAGGGGCTGCCCAGGGCACCGGTGGAGTCCCCGCCCTGGAGGTGTCCAAGGAAGTTCTGGCCGCGGCGCTCAGCGCTCTGCGCTGGGGACGAGGCGCGGATCAGTCCCGGTGATCCCGGGGGATCGTTCCCGTCCCGGACAACTCCGGGATCCCGCGGCCGGGTGGGGCGGTCCTCCGGCCGCCAGGGGGCGCACGGGCGCCGCGGGCAGGGCGCTCTGGGCAGGGCCTGAGGGCGGGGCGGGGCGCTCTGGGCGGTGCCGCTGATCACCTGAGCCGGCGCTGAGGCGGCGATGGCGGCGCCGAGCGGTGAGCGGGGTTGGGCGGGTGGGACCGGCTGAGGGACGCTGGGGCTGCGCCGGCCGGCACCGGGCACCGCGCCTCGGTGGTGCTCTTCGGAAGGCTCTGGAGCAGGCGCTGCCCTCGCTCACTGTCCTGCTCTCCTCAGGTGTCGGTGCCCGAGGGCTGCGAGCCACAATCCCGGCTCGGCCCTTCATCCTTCCGAGGCTCTGGGCCCTCGGGCACGGAACGGCGCTGTTCTGGATGAGGGAAGGGTAAAGAAGACGAGGAGCTTGGAAGCTGTGTGAGCCTGGGAGGGGGAGCCGCAGAAAGAGAAGAGAAGAATAGTGATGGTGAGGGAAAGGAAGGGCTGAGAGACAAACCTGGACTGGTGAAAACGAGCGGAGATTTGTTCCAGGGCAGGCTCAGGCTGCGGCAGGAGCGGCAGCTCCAGCACAGAGAGCAAAAGATGCAGGACAGCGAGCGCCAGTGCTGCAGCTCGGCTGCTGCCTCCTCTGGGCCTGTTCCAGGGCCTGCAGGGCTGCCTGGTGATACCCTGTCAGACAGCCAGGGCAGCCTGTGCCTGCCTGGTGACACCTGTCAGACAGCCAGAGCAGCCTGTGCCTGCCTGGTGACACCTCTGTGACAGCCAGAGCAGCCTGTGCCTGCCTGGTGCCACCTCTGTGACAGCCAGGGCAGCCTGTGCCTGCCTGGTGACACCTCTGTGACAGCCAGAGCAGCCTGTGCCTGCCTGGTGACACCTCTGTGACAGCCAGGGCAGTCTGTTCCTGCCTGGTGCCACCTCTGTGACAGCCAGGGCAGCGTGTGCCTGCCTGGTGACACCTCTGTGACAGCCAGAGCAGCCTGTGCCTGCCTGGTGACACCCTGAGACAGCCAGGGCAGCCTGTGCCTGCCTGGTGCCACCTCTGTCACACAGCCAGAGCAGCCTGTGCCTGCCTGGTGCCACCTCTGTGACAGCCAGGGCAGCCTGTTCCTGCCTGGTGCCACCTCTGTCCCTGTGCCTGCCTGGTGCCACCTCTGTCACACAGCCAGAGCAGCCTGTGCCTGCCTGGTGACACCCTGAGACAGCCAGGGCAGCCTGTGCCTGCCTGGTGACACCTCTGTCCCTCAAGACCAGCAGCATCTCCAGGAGCCCACCCAGACCCAGCTGCTGGCTCACTGCTGCCTCACTCCTGAGTGTGTTTTCCCAGAGTAAATAAAACATCTTTTCTTTCCACACCCTCACCTTGTCTCACTACAGTGCCCAGATGGGTTTATTGTGTCCAGAAGTTTTTGAAAATTGGGGCTTCTCCCAGAGCTGTGTTGCTGTGTTGGAGTTACAGTTGATAGTAAAATGAAATGTTTGGTTTTATTTTGCTGTCATCACCCCAACAGCTGCAGACTGGGAAACACCCAGAAAACATTCTGTGCCCTTCCTGAGCGTGTGGCTGCTCCTCAGGCAGAGCAGTGGGATCAGGATTTGGTGTCTGTGGGTGCTCACTGCTTACAGGGATCAGGATTTGGTGTCCCTGGATGCTCACTGCCTGCATTGATCAGGATTTGGTGTCTGTGGGTGCTCACTGCTTACAGGGATCAGGATTTGGTGTCTGTGGGTGCTCACTGCTTACAGGGATCAGGATTTGGTGTTTATGGTGCTCACTGCTTACAGGGATCAGGATTTGGTGTCTGTGGGTGCTCACTGCTTACAGGGATCAGGATTTGGTGTCTGTGGGTGCTCACTGCTTACAGGGATCAGGGTTTGGTGTCCCTGGGTGCTCACTGCCTGCTGGCCTGGGCACTTCCAGGCAGTTCTTTCAGTAATTCAGTAAATAGAAATCACATCAATAAATGGTCACGTGCCCAGGGCTTTTTTCACTCCTGGCTGCTGAGTTTGATGTGTCTTCACTAAAGCAAATTTCCCCTTTTGAGAGCTGTTCATTTACCAAATCCTTTATCTTGTGAGCCCTGGTGTGATTCTTTTCCTGTTCCCTGTCTGCCCTTCATGTCTTGATCCATTTTCTTGGGTGAAAACTGAAGATTTGCCACTGTCCCCATGACCAGTGAGGTCTGGGTGGAATGGGGAAGGGTGAGGTGGGACAAGGGGATGCAGAAATGCTCAGCAGGATTGAACATGGTCACCAATTCAAGGATATCCTGTTGCAGGCACCTTTGCCTTCTGCTTTCTCATCTGGAAATCATTTTGTTGGTGCCTCTGGTGTCTTGCCCTTGGCTCTGCCCTGCATTTCCCTGCCAGCCAGCTTCCCTTCCTGCTCAGTGCTCTGAGTTCTCCTGGGAGCTGGCTCTGAGCAGCATTTCAGTCATCTGAGCTGGTTAGAGAGGCAGAGATTGGGGTGGCAGGGAAGGAGCCACAGAGCTGCTGGAGATGAGTTTGCTGTGGCCCATGGCTGTCCCAGTGAGGGCTGTGACAGCAGGACAGTGACTCAGGGTGTCTCTGCCTCCTTGCTCCTGCACTGAAAGGAAGAGGGATGAATTACACTGAATTATTTTACTTTTACAGCGAGGATTTACCTCTGTAAAGATTTTACAGAGGTTTTGGCAGAGCTCTGCCTGCTCAGGGCACCTCCCTGGCTGGGTGCTGTGAGGAGCTGCTCCCCAGGAGCCTTTGGGGGCAGCTTGCAGACCCAGAGCTGGCAGAGCAGCAGCACTTTGTGTGCAGCACTGACTCCACTGAGCCCTGAGCTGTGCAGCTGTGCCAGTTACTGCCCCACTGGTGAAGCAGTGCCTCTGCTGTGCTGGGTTTTAGTTGCTTAGGGATTTTAAGTGTTTCAAAAGTCACTGCAAGTGTTTAAAGTGTTCAGGGCTCGCTCCTGCGGGGGAAGGGTAGATATAAGTCTAATTGTGTCAGGAACTCACGTCTTAAAAAAGGAATTCACTATGTTGCGGCAAAACGTCTAAATGTGGACAATGTTGTAACTAGATCAGTGAAGAGATTTTTACTTTTATTTCTAGCACATCAGTCTCAAAATACAAAATGGAGACATGACAGCTCACTGATCTACACTAAAAAATGTCTTCTCCGGGAGGGCTCATACAGAAAAACATAAAATCATTTCAGTCTAGATTTCAGCTAATTACACACAGAAAACACATATTGACAAGCATTCTATCTAATCTTATAAAACACACTAATGGTAGCTAAAACAAAGACTGGTTCATAAGAGACAAAGAACAGAGTTCTATTCATGCTAATGTTCTAAAGATATACATTAAATAACTTTGTTGCCATCTTAAAGCTAATTCTACAGAGGCTTATTGTTGTTTGTCACGTCTACTGCTTGGGAAACTTTTCTGCTTGCGTGGGAAACTTTTCTGCAATGCTAACAAAACTCTAATCTAAGGCTTACATACTTTTTTAAACTTTTTTCTAAAAATCTTCTAACTTTATGGATTCCAACAGCTCCCAGCCTTAGCTCCCAGCCAGGTCCCTCTGGGAGCCCCTTTCAGCTGCAGCCCCAGCTCAGGCTCTTTGTGCTGTGCCCATTTGTGCCCCCTGATCCTGTGCAGCCACAATAAATAGAAAATAAACCCCTTTTTCTCCTTGATTTCATTGCCCCCATCTCTTTTCCAGCACCCCCACTGGTGCCACCTCCTTCCCAGCTGCTCTCCCATTCCCTGTCCAGCCACAGCTTTCTGCCTTTCCCTCAAACTCTGCCAGCAGCTCCTTTTCCCCCCTGCTGGGTCAGAGCCTGTCCCAGAGCTGCCTGGTGTCTGTTCCCTCAGCCACCTGCACCCCTGATTCCCCCTTTTGGCATCTTCCTGTGTGACAGTGTTCACAGGGGTCTGAGGATGAGGGAAGAGATGAGGATCTGACTTCACGTTTCAGAAGGCTGATTTATTATTTTATGATATATATTACATTAAAACTATACTAAAAGAATAGAAGAAAAGTTTTCATCAGAAGGCTGGCTAAGGGTAGAAAAGAATGATAACAAAAGCTTCTGTCTCAGACAGAGAGTCCAAGCCAGCTGATTGTGATTGGCCATTAATTAGAAACAACCAACATGGGCCAATCACAGATGCACCTGTTGCATTCCACAGCAGCAGATAATCATTGTTTACATTTTGTTCCTGAGGCCTTTCAGCTTTTCAGGAGGAAAAATCCTAAGGAAAGGATTTTTCATAAAAGTTGTCTGCAACATTCTGTACCCAACTTTTCCTCTCTCAGGTTCAACTTCTCTTCCCTCACACTTGAACCATCTGGAATCCTTGCTCTCAGTTCTTTGTTATCGTGCCAGAATTGACTTTGAGTTTAAATAATTTGGGTTTCATCCCTGGTACTTGATTTCTTGATACAGCTTTTTAATTTTTATTTCCTGGAGTGGACCCTGCATTTCTCTGATCCCTCAGCAACCTTTCTGTGCCTATCCCAGGGCTGACCCAGACAACCAACCCCTCTCAGACCACAGCAGGGCTTGAGTGCCTCATGTTTGTACTTCCCTGTGCTGGAACTGCCTGTGGCATCCAGCTAAACAAAGATTTTTTTTTTTCTTGACTGACACAATTATTTTCTTTTTATTTTTCCCCCAACTCATTAGGTCCCAGTTGTGCAGCCCAGGCTCCCCAGCAAGCACAGAGCCCAGGATCCCTCAGCCTTTCTCTGCAGTGACCACATGTGCCCCTGGGCAGGGCTGAAGATGCCGCTGTTCTCCAGGAAGAAGAAACCCAGCGAAGATGCTCGGAAACGCCTCGAGTACCAGATGTGCCTGGTAAGCACTGCCAGGGTCATTTCTGTCCTCTGAGCCTGGTCCTTGGGTGCAAAATGTGCCTGGTAAGCACTGCCAGGGTCATTTCTGTCCTCTCTACCTGGGCCTTGGGCACCAGATGTGCCTGGTAAGCACTGCCAGGGTCATTTCTGTCCTCTGAGCCTGGTCCTTGGGTGCCAAATGTGCCTGGTAAGCACTGCCAGGGTCATTTCTGTCCTGAGGGTCTGGTCCTTGGGTGCCAAATGTACCTGGTAAATACTGCCAGGGTCATTTCTGTCCTCTCTACCTGGGCCTTGGGCACCAGATGTGCCTGGTAAGCACTGCCAGGGTCATTTCTGTCCCCTGTGCCTGCTCAGCACTGCCAGGGTCTGTGATGGTGTTCACAGGGGTCTGAGGATGAGGGAAGAGATGAGGATCTGACTCCATGTTTCAGAAGGCTGATTTATTATTTTATGATATATATTATATTAAAACTATATGAAAAGAATAGAAGAAAGGATTTCATCAGAAGGCTGGCTAAGGGTAGAATAGGAAGGAATGATAACAAAGGCAGCTGTCTTGGACTTTCTGTCTGAGCCAGCTGGCTGTGATTGGCCATTAATTAGAAACAACCCCATGAGACCAATCCCAGATGCACCTGTTGCATTCCACAGCAGCAGATAATCAATGTTTACATTTTGTTCCTGAGGCCTCCCAGCTTCTCAGAAGGAAAAATCCTAAGGAAAGGATTTTTCATAAAAGATGTGGGTGACAAGGAACTTTTCTGTCCTCTTTGCCTGGTCCTTGGCTACCAGATGTGCCTGCCAGAGTCATTTCTGTTCTCCCTGCCTGATCCTGGCTCTGTGTGGTTTGGTGCATCCCTGCGTGACCAGTGACCACGTTCTATGAGCAGTAATTGTGTTCCTGATCCCACTAAGGTAGCAGATTTTCTTCCTAATGCACCTCAGGGAATTTCTGCCTTTGCCCTCCCGCCCTCACATCCCCTTGGTGCCCCCTCCACCCCTCTCTGTGTGGTTCCATGGGGCATCCCCCACCCCACCCCATCTCCTGCCTCCCTGCAGGGGACCCCAGCTCCCCTTTCTCCTCCATGCCCCTTTGCCCTCACAGATCTCCCAGTTTGCTGTTCCTTCCAGGGAACCTGTGACTTCCATCACATCTGCCCTGCCTTGTGCCTCTCTTTTGCCTCCCATTATTCTGATCTTCTGTCACTCTGAGGATTAACTCATTAGACATTGCTGTTTGTTTTCCTGGAGCAGGATTTCACCAGGGTGCTCTGGCCCAGGGAATCTCCTGGGGAAGGGATGAGGAGGGGCTGAGGGAGCTGGGCAGGGGCTCAGCCTGGAGCAAAGGAGGCTCAGGGGGCCCTTGTGGCTCTGCACAGCTCCTGACAGGAGGGGACAGCCAGGGATTGGGCTGTGCTCCAGGGAACAGGGACAGGAGGAGAGGGAATGGCCTCAGGCTGCATCAGGGGAGGCTCTGGGTGCATATTGGGACTTTTTTTTCCTGAAAAAAGCATTTTCAGACATTGCAACAGACTGCCCAGGACAGTGGTGGTGTCACCATCCCTGGCAGTGACCCAGAGGTGTGTAGATGTGACTTTGGGGACATGGGTGAGTGCCGAGGTCCATTGCTGTTAGCAGCTGCATTGCATGGACTTGATTTGAACATGGAAAGTACTTTGGAACAGAACCACAGATTCCCAGACTGGTTTGGATGGAAGGGACCTTAAAGCCCATCCAGTGCCACCCCTGCCATGGCAGGGACACCTTTCCCTGTCCCAGGCTGCTCCCAGCCCTGCCCAGCCTGGCCTTGGGCACTGCCAGGGATGGGAGCACAAACTCTCTGGGCAAGGTGCAGCAAGAGGTGCTGGATTTGTGCATGGTCTGACTCTCTGGGTGTGTTTGTTCCCTCTCCAGGCCAAAGAAGCTGGTGCTGATGACACCCTTGACATATCCAGATGTGAGCTCTCAGAGGTATGTGCTCTACACCTTCCAGCCTTCACTCACAACTCTGGCTCTCTGTCTGCTTCTTGGAAACAACTGTCAGACTTACTCTCATGCCTGTGAGCCTTGAGACAGAAATTGTGGCTGGTCCACCTTTTCCTCTATCTCCTGAGTTCTGGGGGGCTTCTTTCCTTTTTTTTTTTTTTTTTTTTTGGTTCTTGTTTTTTTGGGGTTTTTTTTTTTTTTGGTTTGTTCTGTTTTGGTTTGGTGTTTTTGTTTTGTTTTGTTTTTTGGTGGGAATTTGCCTGTTCTGTCTCATGCTTCAACACCATTTCCTGGGAATCCTTTAGAAGGGCAGAGTGGTCTCATACCCTCCGCCTTGGTTGACCCTCATGGCTTAATTTTGCTGCTCCTGAGGGAATTGGTTTGCCAGAGGTTGAGTATTTCTGATCTTAGAGCTACACAGTCTGCCACCCATGGTTGTTTTCCTGTGTAAATGAAAATCCCAGTCCTGCTTCCAAGTTGCTGGGTAAGGATGGAAGTCTCACCCCAGCTTGGCTTCTTATGGCAATCAACTAAATGAGAAACAATCTTCTGGTGTGTGGGCAGGCAGTGACAGAGTGCCAGGCACCCAGACACAGCTTTTTCTCAGGCAGAAATCATTTCTATCTCACTTTTCATTTTTATTCCTTGTCTCATGCTTCCAAAGTGTTGATCCTGAATCCAGGATGCCCTTGCCAAGCAAAGTGTGGAGATGTGACACCATCCTGGAGAGGAGAGCTGCCTGCTGTGCAGTGTGAAATGGCTTTGCTGAGACTTTGGGGTGTTTTGTTCCAAGCTCAGGAGGCACCAGCAGCTCTGTGTGGGTTTGCAGGTGTGTGGGACAGCCTGGGTGTGGCAGGGTGGCAACAGAGGATCCACCCATCCAGCCCCACTCAGGGCCACAGCTAAGCTGGTAAAACTGTCTTGCTGTTCATTTTCATTGTTGTTTCAATAAACTGAGTGAGACATCAGTTTGTTTTACAATTAACCATGGACAGGAGTCTGGCTGCTGCTGGTTCTGTGCTGCAGGGAAGGTCACAGTGCCCAGCTGTGCCTGGCAGGGGCTGAGCTGGCACCTCCTTGGTCTGCCTTTCCCTCTCCTGGCACACCAGGGTCACCTGTCCTGCCTGGTGCTCACCTCTCTCTCTCAGCACACTGCAGGGTGGTTGTGATGCTGCCAAAGCACAGGATGCATTTCTGTGATGAGAAAGCTGAACCTTTGCCTGACTCATCTGCACAATGAATATTAAATCACACAAAGCTTGAACTCCTGCCTGAGCCTCAGCCTGTTCTGTGCCACTGCTGTGTCTTGGAGAGTCACTGGGAGCTGTTTAAATGGGAGCTCCCTGGGAAATACTGGGCCCAAATCACAGGACAGTGATTTTAAGCATCACTTTTATTTCCAGTCAAGCTGTTTACACTTCACAGTTGGACAGTGTAGAACTGCTTAAAAGAGAAGTCTGACATGACTATTTGTTTATTGTTTTTAGGTTCCTTATGGGGTCTTTGCAACTTGCAAGGTCTTGCAAAAAAAGGTAATGTTTTAATCAGAAATAATTAAATAATTATTAAATAATTCTATTAATATGCTTAACTATTGTTGTCATGTTTGATATGACTGTGTGTGGCTGTTTTATGGTGGTCCAGAAGGAATTTTCTTGTCAGCAATTTGTCCACCTGTGTGAAACTACAATAGAGAGCAGTCTGAGTCAGATCAATTCTGTCTGTGTTTTTTACAGTTAATTTCTGCCAGGAAAGAGCAGGTGGTTGTTCCTGTCTTAGCCCATCTAAGGGTATTTCTCATGTGAGGAACTGGGCTCTGGTTTAGATCTCATGTGAAATGTTTGACCTTCCCTGACAATCCATTTCCTACTGCAATGTTTTATATGAAACTGAGTTCTTGTACAGCCTCCCCAGTTCAATCCCAACAAAATTGCTTGTTCTGGTGTCTCATGTTTGTGTGACAATGGGGTTTTTCCTCCCCAGGTGCTGATTATTCATACCAATAATCTGACATCCTTAGTTCCAAAGTCCTGCAGCATCCTGAGTCTTATAACTGTGAAGGTAATTGTGATTCTTTTCCTATTTTCCTTGATTTGAGCTGCACTCAAACACACCAGCCCAAGTAAATCCCTCCTGGCTGGCTCAGGGATCAGTACCAGGGTGACTCCTGCCTTTTCTGGGTTCAGCTCCAGGCTGGCAGACAGCACTCCCTGAGGGGTTTGTGTCACATCCCCATCAGTCCCACACCTCATTTATCCCCTTCAGAATCCCACAGTTTCCCCCTCAGGAGGGAGGGAGGGCTCCAGGTCTTGTCCCACCCTCCCCCTGCACTGCTGTGGGAGCAGTTCAGCTCATTGATCCTGCAGAAATTCCTGCTGCCAGCCTGGTTCCAAGGGGATGATTTATCCAGTTGGCTCCTCCAGTTCTGTGGGACAGCTCCCTCAGTGTCACTGCTCTCCCTTGTCCCTTGTTTGTTACTGATGCCTGAATTTCCAAAAGACCTCCAAGAATGAAGTATCCATGTCCCCTGCAAAACTTGAGCTGCTTTTCAAAGTCCCCATTGGAAGCCAAGTAATTTTCATTGTGAGATAATTCATGACTTTTGTTCCCGACCCTGTTTGGTGACATCATCTGCTTTTCCAGGTTCTGGATCTGCATGACAACCAGCTGGCATCACTTCCTGCTGATATTGGTCAGCTGACAGCTCTTCAGGTAAAAGATTTGAGGCTGCATCCCAGGTGTCTGTACAGGGCATGGAAAAAAGGAGAAAGGAGCAGGAGAAGAGCAGGAGAAGCCAGGCTTGGTTGTTTTCTCCAGCTTGGTGCAGCCCAGGTGGCTCCCATGTCCAGGCAGATGCTCTGAGCAAGCAGAGTCCTGCTGATCTCCCCAGACATTCAGGTTTTGCTGTTCTCCCTGGGGTGGTTATGTTGAGAACCCAGAGCACTGTCTGAGGGCACACTCAGGGTCTCTCTGCTCAGGGGGAGCTTTAGGTGAGAGCTGGAGTTGGGGAGGGCTGCCCTGGACACTCCAATTCCCAGGTCCTGCATCTGGATCCAGCACCAGATGTTGGTGGTGAGCAGTTTCTCACTGCCCCTGGTAGCTTGGCATGCCCTTTATCCATGGGATATCCATACTTACCCATGGGATATCCATATTTATTTATATGGAAAATACATTTTTTTAACCCTGAAAGTGCTATCTACAACCAATTTCAAGTTGTCTGAAAGTCCCAGCAGCACAGATGTGTAGAAGACATGAGACTTGGATGAATATTTTGAATATCTTTTCTGTTAATACCTTAGGTCCTAAACCTTGAAAGGAATCTTTTAAAAAGCCTTCCACAATCTATAGGAGACCTTGCACAGCTCCAGGTCCTCAATGTGAAAGGTATGGAATGGGATTGCTCTGGACAAAGCACATTTATTATCTGGTCATGGTGAGCTGCATTAGCAATTATTCCTTTCAATCAAGGCAAACACCAGATGGTTTACACTCTGAGTGCTGAGGAGGAGCACAAGGAAGGTTTGAATTCAAATAGTTGGCAAGGCAGGAGAAATGATCTAAGCAGAAAATGTGTCAGCCTCAAGCACTCCAGTAAAGCAAGCAGAGCACTCAGCCTGATAAACTGGATTACATTTGGGTCCCCCAAGCCCCAGAGCTGGCTCCTCTGTGTCCCCACAGGTTTGCACAGCCCAGGCACAAAGGTCACACATCTTTTCCAGACTCCTGGACATTCTCCAGCTATGCAGGGCCATAAATCTGGGAGAAAAAGGAGATTTAGTTATGTGGAGCTGTTGCTGAAACAGGGAAGGCAGTGGAGGGTGAGGAGCTTGGAAGGGCAGCTCAGATCATTGCCTGTCTGTCTGTCTGTCTGTCTGCAGCACCTGGGCTCTGAGCCCGGGGTGTGCAATCTCACACTCAGTCCCCTTCCTCCCATCCCTGGGGCTTAGGCCAAGGGAAGAACATCCCATGTTACAAATATTCACCTGATAAAGAGCACAGATCCAGCCTGCAGCAGTGACCTCAGCTGAGGAGGAGATCTGGAGCCCAAATTGCCCTTGCTGGGCAGTGCCATCCTTTGAGTCCCTGTGTGACCTGGCACAGCCCCATACCTGGGGAAATGAGCCATGTGTGTGGTTATGGATTGGGGCTGGAACAGATGAGCTTGGCCCCTGGTTTGGGAAGGCTGGAAAAGGAGACTCAGGGGTGCCCCCATGGCTCTGCACAGCTCCTGAAAGGTGCCTGTGCTCAGCTGGGGCTGGGCTCTGTCTGCAGCAGCACTGACACAGCCAGAGCACACAGCCTCGAGCTGTGCCAAGGGAAATACAGGTTGGATATCAGGGAGAAGTTTTTTACAGGAAGAGTGATAAAGTTCTGGAATGTTCTGCCCAGGGAGGTGGTGGAGTCCCCATCCCTGGGTGTGTTTAACAAAGCCTGGATGTGGCACTGGGTGCCAGGGCTGAGTTGAGGGGTTGGGGCTGGGTTGGACTCAATGGTCTTGAAGGTCTCTTCCAACCCAGTGATTCTGTGAATTCTGTGAATGGTGTGGATTCTGTGAATCCTGTGGTTCCATGGTTTATCTGCCTTTCTGTTCCTGCAGGGAACCAGCTGAGGGCGCTGCCCGGGAGCGTGAGCGGCCTGCGGAGCCTGCGGGCTCTGGATGTCAGCGGGAACGAGCTGCAGGAGCTGCCCCGGGGGCTGGCCCACGCCCGCAGCCTGCAGGTACCGCCCTGGGGCCCTCCCTTCCCAGCCTGCCTCCCTCAGCTGGGAGTAGCTCCAGCCCACGAGGGGAATGTTTAGGGTCCGGGCAGCGTGCATTGCAGGGAGTTGTAACAGGGCTGTTCACGCTGTCCAAAATTGCTTTTATGTACCTGCTCTGGTCTTTTCTGATCATTTTTACCATTTTATCTGATCATTTTGTCATTTAATCATGACCAAAGCGATCCCCAGAGAGTGAACCCCTGGATTTTACCTGCCAGGGCTGTCTTTAAGAGCACAAATTGTGCTTCTGTCACCCTGGCAGATCTCCAACTTGTTATCAGCTTTGATATGTTTATGGCTCTCTGAAGTGCACATTCAGAATGGGAAAAGCAGCAGGATTTTTATGGATCTGTTGCCTTCTGGCTGCCAAACCTGTCAGTGCTAAATGGTGCAAGTGTGAGGCAGCAGGGCTGCCTCAGACACCAGCAGGAAGGTGTGAATAAATGCTCTCCTGTCTCACACAACATTTTGCTTCACTTCTCATGAGCACAGCCTGAGTTGAGGCATCTGTGCAGCTTTGCCCCCTGTGCTTGGTACACTGATTCCTTTCTAGGCCTTCCTGCTGTGCCCTTCCCTGCACAAGGCAGCACTGGGTCCTTTGGAGGCCACAGAAGGACAAAACAAGTGGCTCTTCCCCTCCTTCTTTATGGGACTCCTCTCCATGCCCTGGTATCACCCCATTTCCATGCTGAACTCCTGACATGGATAGGGAATGTCTGAGCTGAGAAGTGCTCTGACCTCTGGTACCTAAATGAAATGCCAGTGCCTGCATGAGGGGAATGTTCAGTGCATGGCCAGCTCAGAAACTTCCAAATAAAGGGGCAGTGGAGTCACCTCTGAAAGGTGCCAGACAGCCAGCGGGGATTCTGTGGAAACCCAGAGCACAGGGAATATTTCTCTGTCTGCTCTGGGGTGCCCTGACCCCCAGGGGAGCACTGACCTTGACCCTCATTCATGGAGAAAGTTTCCTAGACTTCAAGATAGACTGGAACCCACAAAAGTGTGAAATAGATTATAGAGAGCAGTGTAGGTGTATCACTTGGTGAGAAATATGGATTTTTTTATTTTTAGTGTGTTGTGGATGGGAGCAAGATGGAGGGCACAGGGTGTCATCCTGGGTTTCACCTTCTTACTTCTTCCTCCTTCTCCATGGGTTTGGGTGGCATTTTGTAATTGGGCAGAGAAGTCCCCATTGCAGCTCTTTGGGATCAGTTATTGGGTTAAAAGGGGAAATAATCCAGGTGTCAGCTCTTAATTGAGTAGTTTAGTCTTGAAATACCTTGTAACAAGAGATTGTTGGCCATTTTGTGCCTTCTAATGAAAAGCTGATGAACTCACAGTAATGAGACTGTTTAACTGATCAGAAATAATAAACACTTGAGTCCCAACATGAATTCCTGTCTCAAGTGCCTTCAATCCAGAGCCAGAAAAACCAGAGACTGGTACTGCCACAGGATTCAATACAGCCTCACATTTATGGTAGGGTTTAGGGTAACATGAAGTAAGATTTTGGGGAGCTGCTAGGAGAAAACTTCTGTCTGGGCTCAGAATAACCTGGAGCTCTGTGTGTTCTGTTTTGGAGACTCTGACCCTGGATGCCTCTGCCATGACCTACCCACCCCCTGAGATCTGCAGTGCAGGCACAGAGGCCATCCAGCAGTTCCTGTGCACAGGTAAGGCAGGAGCAGCTGGGCTGTGCCCAGAGATGGCATTTCTGAAGGACAGACATGGTGTGGGCCTGCTTGGGGTGGTTGGTGATGCCCTGCATACCTGATTACCTGTCTGTGATGGCAAACAGCACAACAGAATCCTTCCCTGAGCCCTGAGCCCTTCCCTGAGCCCTGAGTCCTTCCCTGAGCCCTGAGCCCTTCCCTGAGCCCTGAGCCCTTCCCTGAGCCCTTCCCTGAGCCCTGCCACACTGGCATGCAGAGTGGTTTGATAACAGAGTGGCTGGGTCAGGCTGTGCCAGGGGCCATAAGAGGTCAGTGCACCTCCTGTGGTAATTGGGGTTTTCTGCTGTGGGAGGATTAGCCATTGTCAGCTGTCACTGCCTTGGGACAAGGAGAGACATTCAGGAGTCACTCAAAGTCCCTGCTGCTCTCATTTTCTCTGAGGAAGGACTTGGGCCCTGCAGGTTGTTTAGAGAATGGTGAAAACAGATGGAGAACTCTAACTCATAAATAATATACTGGGAGTTTGTTGCCACTGTGTTTAAAACAGACAGGGAGTTTTGGTGAAGGTTTTATGCAGGGGAAGTGCCTTGCCAGCCATTGGGATATTCCCTGAAAAAACAGGACAGTCAGAATTTATTTTGGTCTGGGCAGTAACATCTGCAGCCCTGCAGGAGTCACCAAGCCTGCACCTGTGTGCAGGATGTGTTTCTGTCTGAGCAGATCCTTGTCCTGGTGGGGATGGAGTGGCCCCACCTCCCACCAGAGCTCCATCATCCTTTTGCCATCATTAAATGCAAAATGAGCCCAAGCTGGAGGAGCCCTGCCAGGCACTCCCTGGTGTATGGGCACAGCTGGAAGCAGCCCCACACAGCAGCCAGCTCACAGCCACGGTGCCAAGGAGGTTTTTGAGCTTCAGATGTTCTTATTTTGTCTCTGGTGCCTTGCAGAGTGTGGAATTGCATACTCCCCTCCCTCACAGCACCTGCTCCCCACGCTGGAGAGCGATGGAGGAGGAACTTCAGTGGATGAGGTGGACAGGACAGTGGAGAAGTACCTGGAGGAGGAGAGTGAATGGCAGGTGAGGCTCCCCTGCACCAGAGGGTTTGGGATTTGTCTCTGTGCTCCACCAAAACATCTCACAGCACTTGGCTCATCATCCCTCATCACCTTCCCCTCCATGGGTTGTGTCTTTTGGGGTTGAGGGAGTAGCAAGGGTGGCTCATCCTTCCTCAGCTGGGCTGGTGTCACCACACTTACTCCTGAAGACACATCCCAAAGAGCTGTCCCCATCCTAGAAAGCAGTGATGGAGCCAAGGGACAGGGGTGACAGGGGGACATGGAGTGTGCAGTGTGTTTTTGGGGGGACAGCAAACTGCAGAACCTTGTGCTTCCCAGCCAAGTGCTAGACATGTTCAGCCCTACCTGGGAAAGGGGAGGCTGGGCCAATAATTGTGGTAATTCCTGTGCTCTTTGGCAAGTGCAGAGTCACTGCCTGTGCCCCTGGAGAAGCCTGAGGGACTGGACTTGGGGCTTGTGTTGCTGTGCCTTTGGTTGATGTCTTCACTCAGTATGGGGAAACTGTACTGTGGAATAATAATATCTACACAAAAGTACTTCTGGGAATAAATGTCTGCTGATATTGCTTATTTTTCAGAACAAATTCTTGGATTATGAGAAGAGGAAGGTAAGGATCAACTCCTATGACTGCTTTGTCTGCAGCATGGTCTGCTTCTGGTTTTTCTTTTCCATCTTTTTAGTTTGTTTCTCATTCCCCTCACCTGGCTGCACTTTCAGTTTGTTCTTTTTGTTTCCCTGGTCTCTGTCTCTTCCCCTGTGCATGGCTCACTTTGAAACAGCCAGAAGCTCCTGCCTTGCTGTTCCCCTTTTGCCTTTGGCTCGAGCTGCTTGGAGCTGGCTGCTCCCTTCAAGCAAGGGAGTCCTGTGCCATGTGGAGCTGAGCCCAACCTGCATTTTGGGCTTCCCTGCACGTGTTTATATTGGCTGGTTTGGTATCAGTCAATGCCCAGGGAATTCAGCTCCATGACATGAAACAGTTTAGAGATCATTGTGAAGGGAGCAGCAGTCTGCTTTCCAGTTTTTGGGTTCCTAAGGAGAGAACATTCCCCTCCCCTAGACAAGCCTCCTGTTTGCCATTTAGCTTCCCTTCTCCTCTTCAAAGGGCTTCTATCCCTTGCTTTACCTTTTTGCCTGGTTATGTTCTTGCTGGGGAAGGAGATTCCTGTCCTTCATCTTTCTTCTGATTCCTCTCAGGAAAGAAAAACTCAGGAGAAGCTGGAGTTTGAGCAGCGCCTGAACGTGGGGCAGCGAGAGCAGGCCCTGCTGGTGCAGCAGCTCAACAGCCACAAGGATGAGATCCTGCAGACAGTGAGAGAGGTGGGTGTGCTGGGCAGGCCCTTCCAGGGCACCCAGTGCCTTCCCCAAGCCCAGCACCTGCTCCTGGTTTCCCTGCTCTGGGCAGGAGCAGCAGAGGCTGGAGCAGGGGCTGTCGAGGCACCAGCGCTGTTTGGAGGAGGAGAGGCTGAAGCTGCTGCAGCAGCTGAAGGACACAGAGCAGGGCATTGCCAGCCGGATCCAGAAGCTGCTGGAGGACAACCAGAGGTGGGTCTTACTCTGATTTTGTTTTGTCGTGTTGTTTTGGGCAGTTCATTTCATCCCTGAGTGGTTTGGACCTGGTCAGGATCGATGTCTGGAGGAGCTGCCTGAGCTCCTGCACTGCCAAAGACCCATATAAAGCACATGGAATCTGCAGCTTATAAAAACTGTTTCACAGATGTGTGATGTTGGGATTTTTCAGTGCTATGGAAGAAATTTGAATTCCTCATGGAAGGTGCAGATTTGCCTCTGTCTGTGTCTGCTGGGTGTCCATGTGAGCTGGTGCTGATGGGAGGTGCCCAGCCTGCTGAAAGCTGCTCTGCTGTGCATGACAGCAAAGTTGTTTTCTCTCAGGCACATGGGGGGATTGTTGGGGTTGTCCTGTGCAGGGCCTGGAGTTGGATGGTCCTAGTGGGTCCCTTCTGAGTCAGGATTCTGTGACACTGTGATTCTGCCCTCTGGGGGACCAGGATGTTCTACTCAGCTTGATGAAAACCTTTTGTTTTATCTTTTTTTTTTAAGGCAAAAACGAAGTTCAGACATTTTGAAGTCCTTGGAGAATGAGAGGTGAGTCTCTGAAACAAACTTGTCTGGAAAAGGGGTAAGAAGCTGGGAAGAGAGCTGGGAGCTTCCTGTCAGAGTCACAGTCTGAATCCACCCTAGGCCAGGTGAGGTTCCTCTCATACCTGCAGCTGGCTCTGATCACTGTTGGAGACAGGAACACTGGACTCAGAGTGCCTGGTCCTACCCAGTCTGGCACACCCAGTGACAGAGTGATTTTACCTCTTCTTCATCTCTGAATGGGCCTAAATAATGAGTTTGGGAACAAAACTCTATTCCAATATCAAAGACCAGCAGAGATCCTCCATCTGCTGGCAAGCAAAGCAGGTATGAAGGTGTTCCAGCAATGTATTCAGGCTGGGAGGAGCAGGTGGGAGGCAAATCTGCCATTGAGCCAACACTGTGAGCTAACTCTGCACCAAAAGTGACTGTCCCCAGCTCTGCCCTGCCTGTGAGCTGCCCCCTCCTTCAGCCAGCTGGGCTGTGGCCCAGTAAACTGGGTGAACATCATCCAGTTGTTTGTCAGGCTGTTCCCCAGCCACACCAGCTCCTGACCTGGTAAATGGTGGGGGGAGTGTGCTGGAGCAAGGGCAGGGGTGGTGGGGAGGGAGGCCAGGCTGCTGCCTGCAGTGGCACTGCTCCCTTGGGCTCAGGGCTCATCCAGCTCAGCAGAAAGGAGAGCCAGGGAAGGGTCTGGCACTGTTTGGGGAGAGCATGTGCACGTTGTGTTGATGTTCTGTCTCTCAGGAAAATCAATTTCCCTGTCTAAAGCCACTGTCCCTGTGTTTTGAGCAAATGTTGTCTCCCATAAAACTTAGAGGGTCTTCACCAAAAAATCACCAAGGCTTTGGTGTCTCTGATAAGCCCAACTTTCCTGAGCAGGGTGAACCTGCCCAGCCTTGAGGCTCTGAGCTGGGTGGGTAAAGGAAAAGGGATCTTTTGCAGGAGTGGCTGAAGTGTTGTTTGTTGGCAGGATCAGGATGGAGCAGCTGATGGCAATAACCCAGGAGGAGACGGAGCAGCTGCGCAGGAGGGAAGTGGCCTGTGAGTCCAGCCAGGGCTTTGGGAGAGGGGGTGAAGGGGCTGGGGCACCAGGAGCAGCTGGAGAAGAGGAAGCTCTGGGGGGACTTTTTCATTCTCTACAACTCCTTGAATGAAACAAGGATGAATCCAAATGGGGGTCAGGCTCTGCTCCCAGGGAACAAGGGACAAGAGAAGAGGAAACAGCCTCAAGTGCCCCCAGGACTGGCAGAGCCCAACCCCTCCTCTGGGACAGGGACAGGAGCCAGGGCACGGCTGGGGCTGGGCCAGGGCAGCTCAGGCTGGAGCTCAGGGCAAGGCTCTGCCCCCAGAGGGTGCTGGCACTGCCCAGGCTGCCCAGGGAATGGGCACGGCCCCGAGGCTGCCAGAGCTCCAGGAGCCTTTGGGCAGCGCTGCCAGGGGTGCCCAGGGTGGGGCTGCTGGGGGGGCTGGGCAGGGACAGGGGCTGGGCTGGGGGATCCTGGGGGGTCCCTTCCTACTCCCCAGGAGATTCTGTGATCTCAGGGTAGGTAAGCAGGGACTGGGCTTCTCTTAGCCCTGAAGAGGTGCAGGCACAGACAGGGTGGAGTTTGCTGAGCTCTTTTCCCAATAAAGAGCCACAGGTGGATGGGTGTGCTCAGGAATCAGAGAGGTGGGAAGAGCAATGAGAAAGGAGCCACTGTTGGTTGCAGTGACTGCAGCAGCAGTGAGGAGTGAGTCTGCCCTGCACACCCAGGCCAGGCAGGCACTGACAGCCCCTCTGTCCCCTCTGTCCCCAGCTGCCATGCAGCAGATGCTGGCTGAGACCTACAAGAACAAACTCCTCCAAACAACCTCGGAGTCTCGTCGGCAGGACCTCGTCAGCCAGGCCTGCTCCAGGTGCAGGGGGTGTCTGTGTGAAATCCCTTTCTTTCAGCAGTGTCATTCCCATAAGTACACCAGGAACTCCTGGAGCTGCTGGAATGCAGCAGGACAGCTGTAACAGCACAGGACAGTGTAAATTAAACTGTCAGACTGCCTTAAATGAACCACCTTCTAACCACCACAATTTGCATGTTAATCACATTTTGGGGGAACTGTCACTTTTTTGCACTATTTTGCCTTATACATTCTGCTAAATATGGAGGGTGGAGTTAGACCAGTTGTACTGCTGTTTTCTGAGGCACTTCAGTGCCAAATTGTAGCCCAGAGCTGCTCCCCTCACCTCCCAGACTGTCTCAAGGGTGAGCATAAGGAGTACATGAGTGTTGTGAGTGTTGCTGAGCATCCTGGCTCACTGTTTACAACAAGATGAGAAATTTTAATCTGGCAACATCTGGCACTGACCAAAACCAGCCTTGTGAGCCTGTGACCTGCTCAGCAGGGCCACAGGAGCCTGTGGTGCAGGTTTGGTTTGGGTGTAGGGAAGGAGATGTTAAATTTGTGGCCTTCAGCTGTGGAGTGCCACTTCCCCTGTTCATTAAGAAATTCCTCCTCCTGCTTTCCCCACTGCCTGCTTTCCTCTGAGTCCCAGCCCCAGCATTAACCCCATGGCACATCCATCTCCTTGCAGCCTGGCTGAGATGGATCAGAAGTTCCAGCAGATCCTGGCTTGGCAGCAGCTGGATCAGAGCAAAGCTGTCAGTGAGATCTTGCAGCAGGTAGGCAAAGGAGCAAACTGCTCATGGGGGATGGAGGAGAGCAGGATCCTGAGTGGGTCACAGGAGCAGCAGGGGCTGGGCTGCATGCAGAAGTGATTTTATTTAACACTACATGCTAAACTTTGAAAATATCTGCTATTCTGACAAACTAACTTGGGTGGTTGAAAAAAAAATTATTTTTTATCTAGCCAGCAAATTTGCAGAAAGGACAGAAGCACAACTGACACAATGATTAAGAGGGGATTTTGAGACAGAAGTCCTGTCTTTTGGCAGGTTTCCTGTGGGACTTGGGACAAGCATTTTCAAAGTTTGTTCTCAGAAGTGCTGGGCAGCTGTGCCCTGCAGCACAGCCTGGCTGCTCAGTGCTGCTGAAAAGGAGAGCTGAGCTCACACAGAGCATTCCAGATGAATGTTTGAATGACATTAATATCTCTCCGTGTGTCTCCAGGATGGGCTCCACCTGTTGGGCTCTCAGCTGTGTTTCAGGACGTTGTTGCTCAGAGCAAGCAGCACTCAGGGATTTGTACCTGAGTCCCTGCAAGGCAGCAGCTTCTGAGCCCATCAGCAGCTGCACCAACCACCTCACTAAGCAGGGTTTTGCCTGTCCCTCAGGTTGAGATGCAGAAAACTGCCTTTGAAGCTCTCCAGGTGAAGAAGGATCTTATGCACAGGCAGATCAGGAACCAGGTGAGTCAGCAACAGAAGAGAGACCAGCTCCTCAGCTCATGCTGCTGTTTGCTGAGACCCTGGGAGGAGGAACAAAGTGCTGTGAGCACAGAGCAGGGTCTGAGGACATGGAGAGCTCTTGGATAGTGATGGTTGCACTCCAGCTCTGAGGGAGGCAGTGTCAAAGCAGGTTTTGGATTCTGGAGGTGGTGGCATTGCCACTCCTTCAGTCACCTGCCCTGCTCTGGGGGTGACCTGCAGTTGCACCTCAGATTTCCTTCAGGCTGTGTTCTTGGCAGGGCTGCTGCTTCCACATGAGCCCACTGCATCTCCATCCAGCACATCAGAGCTGCACCATGAGCCATCAGTTCACCTTTTCTTTCCCATTCTCAGCTCCATGCCTTTCTGAGCTCCATTCCACAGGAGGTGCAGTGATGTAGGTGGGGGAAAGAGCAAGAGCTGGTGGAGAAAGCAGGGGTGGATGATGCAGGATGATGGAAGAGTGGCAGGGGAGGATGCAGGATGATGGAAAAGTGGCAGGGGATGATGCAGGATGATGGAAAAGTGGCAGGGGATGATGCAGGAAGGTGGAAAAGTGGCAGGGGATGATGCAGGAAGGGGGAAAAGTGGCAGGGGATGATGCAGGAAGGTGGAAAAGTGGCAGGGGATGATGCAGGAAGGTGGGAAGGCAGCAGTGGTGGATGCAGGAAGGAGGGTTGCTGGTTTCTGACACAGTGCTCCAGAATCTTCCCTCTCCTGATTTGACACAGAAGAAAAGTCTCAGTTCAGGATTTGGTGGATAAACTTGAGGACTTGGATGTTTTGAGTGTCCCAGTGACCAAACTCTGCTGGAAGCCTGTGCCCTGTCTGACAGCTCCCATCATTGCCTGCCTTCACCATAAGGGCCCTGCATTTTGCTGCCTCTTGCTCTGTGAACAAAGGGGGTTTGTTCCTTGATGCCAAGGCTGGACCTTTCACCCTTGGGACCCCTCCCACCCTGTGCTGCAGGGGCAGAGCCCTGGGGTCAGCAGGAGCAGCGTGGCCTGGGGACAGTTGGTGGCCTGGCAGAGGGGTGAGCTGGGCTCTCATCTTGGCTTTGCTGTGGGACCCTGGACCTTCACCTCTCTGTGTCTCAGTTACCCCACCTGAAAGAGCAGGTGTTGTTCTGGGATTGCTGGAGCACCTGGAAAGCAGAGAACTGTCCCAGGAGTCTGAGCTGGGAGGGCCTTGGCTCTGCATTCCAGGGTGGCTGCCAAAGGTTTGGGTGCACAAACTGATTGCAGTGTGAGCTCCAGACCTGAGCAGAAGTGTTCAGAGTAGAGAGACAGCTGGAGTGGGGGGACACAGCTCCTCAGGTAAAAGAAGAGGCACCCTCAGCACACACATCACCAAAGGGCACAAGCAGCACCTCTGGGTGCTCTGCAGTGCTGCCCTTGCCAGTCAGACCTCATTTAAAAAGAGCAGAAATCAAAGTCATTTTAAATGTCAGTAAAAAATGTTTCATCTTCTGTTTAGATTAAATTAATAGAAACAGAGTTATTGCAGCTGACACAGCTGGAGGTAAAGAGGCAAGAACTGGACACAGAGACACTGCAGGTACGTGGGGCTCTGGGGCTGCCTGCTCTGGGATTGCTCCACCTGCTGCCCTTGCTCCTGGCACTTTCCAGATGGGTTTATGCTCAGTCAGGAGGTTCTTCTGCACAGGACACCAACCCCTGTGTGTCCTGGGAACGTGGGACACCAACCCCTGTGTGTCCTGGCAATGTGGGACACCCACCCCTGTGTGTTCTGGGAACGTGGGACACCAAGCCCTGTGTGTCCTGGCAATGTGGGACACCAACCCCTGTGTGTCCTGGCAATGGGGGACACCAACCCCTGTGTGTCCTGGGGGTGTGGGACACCAACCCCTGTGTGTCCTGGGGGTGTGGGACACCAACCCCTGTGTGTCCTGGGGGTGTGGGACACCAACCCCTGTGTGTCCTGGGGGTGTGGGACACCAACCCCTGTGTGTCCTGGGGGTGTGGAACATCAACCCCTGTGTGTCCTGGCGATGTGGGACACCAACCCCTGTGTGTCCTGGCAATGGGGGACATCAACCCCTGTGTGTCCTGGCAATGTGGGACACCAACCCCTGTGTGTCCTGGCAATGGGGGACATCACTGCTGCTCCCAAACACCCCCAGGCATTCTCAGCAGAGAGACAGAGGAGCCCTGATAGGGATGGGCAGTTCCAGGTGTGCTGGGTGGGGAAAGATTTTGCAATCCAGTTGTTGGCTGTCCCAAAACCACCTGCCTGCTGTGCATTGCATGTCCTCTTGCATTGTGTTGTGTTTTGGTTTTGGCATCATCAGCAGTCACACATTGAGGAATGCCAGGTTTAACTTCAGCAGCTTGGCTTTAAATTTTGTTTTGTGATGATTTGCATCAGTTCTTTTCTTCTGTGTGCCATGTGCCAGGTCAGGTCACCCGTTTAGTCAGCCCACAATCAGTGACAAACAGCCAGGGCAGTGACAGAGCAGTGGGAAGTGCTGGCTCCCGGCAGCAGTGCCTGTCCTGGATCCTTCAGGTGCCAGGTTTGGTTGTGCTGCCTGGACTCACTCAGCTCCTCTGTGTCACTCTGTGCTGTTGGAGGGACCACCCAGAGTTCCTGCAGGGCAGCCCAGGTGTGAGCACAGGAGCTGCAGGGCAGTGCAGGGAGCAGAGCTCTGCACCAGGAGCTGAGCTCTGAACACCTGGGTCTGCCTGATCCCCCTGCCCTTGGTGCTGTGCCCCCCACAGGGTCCCTGCTGGGCAGGAGCAGCTCCCCCTGTCATCTGTTGTCCCTGTCCCTCCCTGGAGGTGCTGCTGCTGCCTCTGTGGTCCCCTGGAGGTGGGGCTGGCCTGGGAGGGGCAGCTGCTCCCCTGTTATCCAGGAGCCTTGTTCCTGTGCTGATCCCAGGCTGGACAGGCCTGGCAGCCCCCTGGGACAGTGGAAAATGTCCCTGCCTGTGGTAGGAGGTGGGATGAGATGGGGTTAAAGGTCCCTTCCAACCAAACTAGTCTGGAATTCTGTGATCAATGAAGGTTTCCCCAAACTTCAGGGTGTAACAGAATCCTTGTCCCTGTGTCCTTGTGGCTGATGGCCACTGGCCTCTGCTCAGAGATGGGTGAGGTGGGACTGAAGCTGCAGAGGGGCCATGATGGGACATTCCTGAGCCACTTAGCTCTGCACTGCCAGGGAGTGGCTGCAGGGATGCCTGGCCTTGCCCTGGTGTGCTTGGGGTGAGACCCCAGGGAGGGGAAGCATCCCAAAGGCAAGGGGACCTCACTGTCCTGGTTACCTGCAGGACCCCAGACCTGCTTTCAGGTGGTCTTTTCTCAGCTGGACAGGGCTTGGAGCAGCCTGGGACAGTGGGAGGTATCCCTGCCATGGCAGGATGGGCTTTAAGGTCCCTTCCAACCCAAACCAGTCTGGGATTCCATGATTCTGAGGAGGGGTACCATGGATGCTTTTGGCTGAGCTCCTGATGCAGTGAGGAGGAGCAGCTGCAGCCAGGGTGGGCTGGGGCTGACAGAGCAGTGCAGGGCTGAGGGAGGATCTGAGCTGTGGGGCACAGGGATTGCACAGCCACAGGGATTGCACAGCCACAGGGGCTGCTGTGGGGCTGGCAGGGGCTTTGCTGGGAGCAGTGGGGGCAGCAGTGTGGGGCAGCAGTGTGGGGCTGGGGCTGGGGCTGCAGTGTGGGGCTGGGGCTGCAGTGTGGGGCAGGGGCTGCAGTGTGGGGCTGGGGCAGCAGTGTGGGGCTGCAGTGTGGGGCTGGGGCTGCAGTGTGGGGCAGGGGCTGCAGTGTGGGGCTGGGGCTGGGGCTGCAGTGTGGGGCTGGGGCTGCAGTGTGGGGCAGGGGCTGCAGTGTGGGGCTGGAGCTGCAGTGTGGGGCAGGGGCTGCAGTGTGGGGCAGGGGCTGCAGTGTGGGGCTGGGGCTGTGGCTGCAGTGTGGGGCTGTGGCTGCAGTGTGGGGCTGGGGCTGCAGTGTGGGGCTGCAGTGTGGGGCAGGGGCTGCAGGCTGGGGCTGGGGCTGGGGCTGCCAGAGCTCTCCCCTTGCAGGAGGCGGTCACGGAGCAGCGCCGGGCACTCGGCTGCCTCCTGCAGCAGCTGCTCAAGGAGAAGAAGCAAAGGGAGGAAGAACTGCAGCAAATCCTGGTAATGAAGCCCCTCGTGCAGAGCTGTGGGTGAGGAAGGATTTGGGTTGGCTGCAGGGAGAGCCCGTGGCTCAGTGTGGGAGTAAAGGGGAGCACAGCAGGTCCAGAAGCCAATTTAGCCCAGGGAGTTGTAACATGAACCTGGGGCACAGCAGCACTGCCTGGGGCAGCGTGGTCACCATCATCACCCCCAGTGACCCTGCTGGGAAGGGAGGGGGCAGCAGGATGAGCACAAGGGATGGGAGTTGTGGTCTGAGCCTCAGGAGCTCAGGCCACGGGGCTGGGGCAAAGGGAGCAGGGACATGCACAGCCCCGTGTGGGGTCAAAGCAGGGCCAGCCTGCAGGAGGCAGAAATCCTGTTTGACCCCATCACAGTGCTCTGGCTGGGCCCTGCAGTGCCCAGGCTGGGGGCTCCCTCCTCACACCCATCCCTGAACCTCCCTGGCTGTGTTCCCTCGGGTGCTGAATGAATTGAGTTTGTTTTTCAGCTGGAAATGGAGGCAAAGAGTGAAACCAAGCAGGAGAACTACTGGCTGATCCAGTACCAGCGCCTGCTGAACCAGAAGCCCCTGTCCCTGAAGCTCCAGGTGCTGCTGCTGTTCCTGCTGCCACTGTGGCTGTGCTTTGCTCTGGGGGGAGCAAGGAGCCCCCTGAGCTGAGGCTGGGAGCAGGTCACAGAGCCCTCACACAGATCCAGTGCTGCCCATGGTGCTCTGAGCTCCCTCATTCCTGCCTGTGGTGGGGATGGAGCTGCCCAGGTCCCTGTGCTGCCAGCACCTCAGCTGTTCCCAGCAGGAGCTGCTGTCCCAGCCCCAGACTGCTGGTCAGGAACAGAAAACTCTTGAGTACCTTCCAGGCAGGGCTTCTTGTTCCAGCTGAGCACCCAAAGGGCTCTGCTTGGCTCCAAAAATTCCCCTCAAACACGACTGAGTGCAGCAACTCCTGCCCATTCCTGCCCCTCATGGCCTGAGCCAGGGCTTTATGCAGGTCAGGTCCCCTCAGGGTGGGCACAAGGAGCTGATCTGAGCTCTGCCTGTGCTGCAGATTGGCCTGAGCTGGCAAAGCAGGGGCTGCTGCAGACATGGATTGCCAAGGGTGGTGTTTCATGTGTGAGGGCAGAGCTCACTGGGGCTGCAGCTCCTCCCGAGGGGCAGCTCCCATCTCTGCTCTGGGCCAGGGACAGGAGCCAGGGCACGGCTGGGGCTGGGCCAGGGCAGCTCAGGCTGGAGCTCAGGGCAAGGCTCTGCCCCCAGAGGGTGCTGGCACTGCCCAGGCTGCCCAGGGAATGGGCACGGCCCCGAGGCTGCCAGAGCTCCAGGAGCCTTTGGGCAGCGCTGCCAGGGGTGCCCAGGGTGGGGCTGCTGGGGGGGCTGGGCAGGGACAGGGGCTGGGCTGGGGGATCCTGGGGGTCCCTTCCACCTCAGGGTATTCTGCGATTCCCAGACCTCAACAGTTTGAACTGTGCCCATAAAACCCCTGGGGCCAGAGCTGCTCCAGCTGTTGAGCTTCCAGGCTTTGCTGTGTTTGGATGCAGCAGAGCTGGAGCAGGGCAGGCCAGGGATGAGCACAGCCCCAGCCCTGCTGCTGCCTGGCCCCAGGGGCACATCTGGGAGCTCATTCCTTGTTTTTCAGGAGAAGGGTTTGGAGCAGCAACTGGTGGCCCTGCTGCTGGAGCTCTCTGCTGAGCAGTACGTGCCCATCTTCGCCCACCACCGAATATCCCTGGAGACGCTGGGCACCATGAGTGCCAGTGACCTGGAGAAGGTACGAGACAGAGAGCCACAGTGTGGGACAGCAGCAGCTGGCATTGTCCCTGTCCCTGCTCAGAATCCAGCTGTGCCTGGCTGGTGCTCTGCTGTGTCACCTCCCCACAGGGACAGGTGCCTGTGCTGCTCTGCCTGTCCCTGTGGGCAGTGGCTCTCCCAGAGACCTGCAGGGTGAGCTGCAGCCTGGCTCCCTCTTCCAACATCCTCCAGGTGCTCTCTGTATTGGAAATAGCACCAGGGAATTCCTGGTGCCTGGCAGAGGGGGCTTTCCTTGGCATGGCCACGTCTTGCCAGCAATGCCCAGGAGTTTTCAGTGTCCCCTTGGGGACATCAGCCTGCTGTCTGTCCCTCTGGGGCCATCACGCTCCTCTTTCCCCACAGCTCGGCGTGACAGAGGCTGGGCTGCAGCATGCCATCCTCAGGCGGGCTCGGGAGATCCTGGCTGTGGCCACGACCATCCCAGGTACCCCCAGCTGTTCTCTGCCACATTTTACCCTCTCAGCGGGTCCCTGAGCCCGGAGCAGGGAGCTCTGTGGGTCAGACACCGCTGTGGGTGTGTGAGGAGGGCAGGAGGGCTGCGGGGGGCGATGGCAGCGCTCAGGGCACTCAGCTGGCTGTGCTTGCAGAGCTGCGGAGGGCAGAGGAGAGCGAGGCCCCTGCGGGCCCCGAGCCCAGCGCTCCCCCGGAGGAGCCCCCGGGCCCCGCGGCCCCCACGGCCCCGGCGCTGCCGGGGGACGAGCGGCAGTCGGAGTGCGTCGTGTGCATGGAGCGGGAGGTGAGAGCCGGCACCGCCCGGGATGGAGCGGGGCGCGGAGGGAGGGCGAGATCCAGCGCAGCCCCAGCTCTGCCCGGCCCTGGCAGTGCCCGGGGCTCATCCTGCCAGATTCGGGCACGGCCGGGCTGGGCACCGCAGCGGGGATGGGGAGAGAAGGGCAGGGACGGACCGGGCAGGGCTCCGTGCGGGCTTGGGCAGGAGCTCGCTGAGCTCCCCCGCCGGGCCTGGGCAGCGCTCACGGGGCTGCTCTGCTTTGCTCAGCCCCGCCGTGTCCCATCGCGTCGTACCCGGTGTCCCATGGTGTCCTTCCCCATGTCTCATCACGTCCTGCCCCGTGTCCCATGGTGTCTGTCCTTCCCCGTGTCCCATCGCGTCCTGCTGGGCGCAGCCCTGCCCCGCACACCCAGGGGGGATGGAGATCGGGGTGTGAGGCTCTGCCCCCCGTGCCGGGAGCGGAGTTCAGGGCCAGCAGCACTCTCCGTGTCCCCTCTGTGTCTCTCCCCCAGCCCCAGATGATTTTCCTGCCCTGTGGCCACGTCTGCTGCTGCCAGGGCTGCTGCGAGCGGCTGCTCTCGTGTCCGCTGTGCCGCCAGGACATCGCGCAGCGCGTCCGCATCTTCCACAGCGCCTAGGCCGGCCCGGAGGCCCCGGCCCCGCTCGGGCTGTTCCCGCTGCCGCTCCTGTCCCTGGAACAGCCCGCGGCCGGCACTGCCCTCCCCACGCTGGGAGCCCCCGCATCCCCCTCGCAGCTCCCCGGGGCTCCTGCAGGGAATCCCTTCGCCCCGCGTCCCCGTGCCTGGGTGACAAACCGGGCGCAGCTGCGGCTCCGCCTCTCTGGCAGAGGTGTTTGCTGTCAGAAAGGCCCCGGGGGCTCGCAGGGACACGGGGAGCGCTTCCAGCAGTGCTGCACGGAGGGGAGGGGAATTTCTTGGTCAGGACATGCTGTTCCTGGTGTGCTCACAGTGCCGTGCACCTCTATCATGCCAAAGGTCTGGGGCTTCAGCTCTGGAGCCCCACGGGAGCTGTCTGGGTCTGCAGCCTCAGGAACTCCCCAGCCCCGGTTCCTGCACCACCCCCGGGACTGGAGGGACCTGCCCTGGCCAGGGGAGCCCGTGCGGGTCCCTCATCCACAATCCAGGGAGGGAGCAGAAAGTGCTGCTGCCACTGGACAGGGCTGGGGCTGTGCCCAGCTCAGGAGCATGGTGTCTCTGCACTGGGGAGTGGGCGCTGCTCCATTGCCATTGATCAGTAACAATTCCTGTCTGCCCTCAGCTCTTGACCCTGAAATGTAAAAATGCTGCCACAAGCCTTATCCCACCACAGCCTTCCCCAGGAGCAGCCATTAAATGCAGCTGGTTTCTGCTGGGGGTGTTTGCTGCCTCTTTCCTTCTGCAGGGGGGTGGCTGGAGCAGGAATGGGGCCACCACCCCATGCCCAGCTGTCCAAGTGTCACCTCCTCCTTCTCATCTTCTTGTCAGAGAATAATTTGAGCCTCTGGGCCTCCTCCCAGGGGGTTGCTCATCGTGGAGCTGCCCCAGGGATGTCCAGACAGGGGAGACCTTGGACCCTGCGCTTGGCTTGCCTCACATGAGCTGCCCCATGCAGAACATCCCTGTGGGACACGTGTGTGGCCTCGTGGAGGTGTCCTGGGGACGTGCCACAGCACCAGGGCCGGCGCCTTGGGAACACCCTGGGGCTGTTTTTCCAGCCTCTGTTTTCACGTTTTGCTGCTGCTGTCCCTCAGAACAGGCAGGTCCTTCGGGAGGGGCAAGGGCTGCACCAGGAGCGGCTGGGGCTGGGATGGAGGAGGTGCCCGAATGAGGGCAGGGAGGGTCATGGAGCGCCCTCACCCCTCCAGGCTCCCCCTCCCTCGGCATTCCCTGGGGTCGGGGAGGAGGAGGGAGCCACAAGCCTTGGCCTGAGGGAGGGGCAGGGAGAGAGGATCCAACCCCGCAAGGAGCCCCCCCTGCTCCCTCTCCCCAGGGGCACACGGGGACCCCACGGGTCCGGCCAGAGAGGGAGGAGAGTCCCGAGGGCTGCCCCGACACCCGGCCGGCAGCAGCGGGGCTGCAGCACCCCCTCCATCCCACCGCCCCCTCAATCCCCTCTGCTCCCTCCATCCCTCCCGGTGGCCGCCGGGCCGTGCCGGGGTGGCGGAGGGTGACAGGAGCTCAAGGTCCACTCGGGGACAATGAAGAGGAGCCAGCGCTTCCCGAGGGCCAGCACGGCCCCAGTGCAGGGACAGCCCCGCTCAGCCACGGGGCAGACAGAACAGCTGGAGCAACACCCAGGCACTTTCTGAGACTGCGGGGAAAAGTAAAATAATAATTAAAAAAGCTCTCTTCGGCCCCAGCCAGCCCCAGCAGTGCCGGGCAGTCGGGGGTTGCAGCTCCGTCCATCCCTGGAGCCCCGAGGTGGCGGTGCCGGTGGCCGGGGCCGTCTCCTGCACCGGGTGACAAACAGACCCCAGGGCTGGTGGGAAATGGGTGCTAGAGCTGCTGCACCCAGGGCTCAGCTGGTCCTGAAGTTCATTAACAGCGACAGAAACCGTGCTTGGAAAGTGGTAATAACATGATGGATTTGGAACGGGAAAAGGGAAAGAGCAGCAGGTGTTTAGGGGCAGCAGCAGCTCTGCGGTGGAGGAGGAGCGTTCCCTGCTCCCGGTGCCGCTCCAGCGCCCGCCGAGCACCCTGGGGCCAGGCTGAAGTTCGGGGGGGGGAGGCAGTGGCCCCGGCCCCCTCAGCCCTCCCCGGGCTCGGCCATCGCCGCCCCCCGCCTTCAAAAGCGGCGGGGCCGGGCCGTGCCCGCGGAGCGCGATGGCAGCGGGGCCCGAGCCCGGCCGGGAGTGCGGCATCTGCTACGAGGCGTACTGGGGGGCCGGGGGGGGCCCGCAGCAGCTGCCGTGCCGCCACTCGCTGTGCCAGCGCTGCCTCCGCAGGCTCGTGTGCCGCGCCGCCAGCGTGGCCTTCGTCAGCTGCCCCTTCTGCAGGATGGTGACGCTGCTGCCCGAGCCGGCCCCGGCCGCCGCAGCGGAGCCGGGAGAGCGGCAGCCGGAGAGCGGCGGTGCCTCCCCGGAGCCCGGCCAGGGCTCGTCGCGCTCGGTGGCCGCGCTGTGCTCGTCCCACGCCCCCGTGTTCGCCGTGAGCAGCTCGGTGTCCCCCTGCGGCCTCCGCCGCGGCTCCGAGGCCCCTCACGCCTTCGTGCTGGGGCTGCTGGGCCGGGGGCTGCTGCTGGACACGCAGCCCCCGCTGGCCTCCATGGAGAACCTGCGCCTCGGCTTCGCCGCCGGCATCCTCGTGCTCATCGTCTCCACCTTCTTCCTGCTCGTCTTCCTCAAGTAGGTCCGCATGGCGCAGCGGGGCTCCCAGCCCGGTGGATGGAGCCGGTGATGGGTCAGGGACTGCTCGGGCCGCGGCCAGGGCTCAGCACCCGCCTGGATCCAGCCCTGGGGCCCGTAGGACGCTCGGCTGCCCCGTACAAGAGCCCCCGGCAATCAGACTCCTTAAAAATTAACTTATTACAGCGCTTTCCTGCCCCGGGGCCCGGCCGTGCTCTCGCTCCGTCCCGAAGGCCCCGGGCCCGCTCGGCGGGAGGCGCCGTGTGGGGCCGCGGGGCCCGGCGGGCTGAGGGGCGGGAGGGTCCCGCAGCGCTGCCCGGGGCCGAAGCTGTTCCAAGGCCCCTCCAAGGCCTTTGCCGGCAGGAGAGAGCCCGGAGCGGTGCCCGCAGAGCGAGGAGGCAGCCGGGAACGGGCTCGGCCCCTCAGAGACACCAGCCATTAAAACCAGCCATGGGTCCAGCGCCGCGTCCGCAGCTTCTCTGTGAGTCCTTGAGCCTCGGCAGGCAGGGCAGGGGCTGAGCGCGGGGATGGAGCGGGGGGTCCTCTCCTTCCCGGCCCCCAGCAAAGTTCTGGGCATGTCCTCAGCAAAGTTCTCCGCGGTTCAGCCACCTCAGGCCGGAACTCAGCCCCCAGGATCAGGGTCAACCCCAGCACAGCCCCTGAGGCAGCATCGTCCTCCTGGGCCCTGGCACATCCCTCCCTCCCCGGGGCTGCTCTGCCCCTGGGAACCCAGAGCTGCCCCCTGCACCCCAGGCAGGTGCTCACACAGGCACAGACAGGGTTAATTTCCATCCCGAGTCCAGGCCGGGGTGGGGAAGGGGGTGTGGGGGGAACAAGTTTCAATCCCAACTCTCGCACCCCAATCCCTGCTCAGAGCTCCCAGGCACAGTGGAGCTGAACCCTTCTGCAGCCCCAGAGCAGCTCAGCAGGGACTGGGCTCTGCAAAGCCCTGGAGATGCCCAAGATCCCCTCCCCTAAAATGTGAGAGGAACCAGGCAAGTGCCCTCTGTGGCCATCAAAGTTCTTTGTGCTCCAGCTTCTCACCCCAACCCAATCCAATGTGAGAGCCCAAGGACCCACAACACAAAGGGACCTTCTCTCCTTGCCCAGGAGAGGGCTTCCACAACAAGAACAGAGAAGAACAGCTTCTAAATAAAATAATGCCCAATTTAAGTCAGAGCAAAATCAGTTTTCAGGTAACAGATGAAGCCAGACTGAAGTAAAGCCACTGCAAGCAAAAAAAATCAGGTTTAATTGCACTTTATTTTCCAAGAAGTGAAATGCAAATCCCTCAGGGTGTCTATCTGTAATGGGGAATGAGAAGTGGAAGTTGTTATTATGAGCAATGATCACCCCTGGGACCCTGCATGGACGGGTCCAGAGGCCACACAAGGGGCACTGACACTCAGAGCAGCACAAGCACTCCCAAAATCCAGTTCCAAACACCCTCACATTGAGCACTGAGTGATGCCCAGGCAGGGCAGCTCAGGTCACCCTGCACAGCAGCAGGGTGGCTGTCACAGGCTTTGGTCTCTGCCCCAGTTTCAGCTGCATTTGGCAATTTGTGGTACTGAGGATGGGGCACAGGGACCTGCCACACCCCTACAGCAACAGCCAGTGTTCTTTTGGGTGTTTTCCTCCCAAGAAGTAATCTTTAGGGGGACAGAGATCTGATTCCAATCAGACTGTAAAGGCAGGTGTAGAAATGAAACCATAGAATTAGTAGAGTTAGTTTAAGTCCTTTGATTTTATGCAGAGGCTTATTTTAAAGACTTCTGGGTTGAAGTTGTGTTAGTGCCCATGAGTGGAGAATCAAAGTGCTGTGAGAGCCCCAGGCTGCTTGCCCAGCTCTGTCCTCACTCCTTTCCCCTCCTGGTCCCCTCAGCGGGCAGGGTGACACCCCAGCCCCTCTGTACAGTGTCACTGGTGCCGGGATGGTCACACTTGAACAGCAGCACAGCCAAAGGCACGGGAGAGGGACTGGGCTGTGGGGAAGGACTTCCCAACCACACAGAGCTGGGGGGCTGCTCCCACAGGGAAACACAGCCAGCAAAAGCCTCCTCAGCTCTGGGCTCAGGAGGAGCTGAGCTGTGTCTGACACACAGCAGGGACTGGGCTCCTTGTACCATCACAGCTCCTGTGCCACAGCTCTGAGGCAGAGCCCCCCTGAACCACCTCAGGCCCCAGGGGCTCACAGGAACACCTGACTGGGATTCCTGGGGGAACCTCCAGTGGCACATGGCTCAGACAGTGGGGAGAGGGTGCAGAGTCCCTGGGAGCCACCTGGGGACTGAGAAACATTGCAGAGACTTCATCACTGGGGAAGGAGATTTTAGTCTGATTTTTTAACAGGGTGTTGCCACTGCAGGCTCCTGCC